TGACGAGTAGCAGCTAAACCCTAAACCCTAAACCCTAAACCCTAAACCCTAAACCCTAAACCCTAAACCCTAAACCCTAAACCCTAAACCCTAAACCCTAAACCCTAAACCCTAAACCCTAAACCCTAAACCCTAAACCCTAAACCCTAAACCCTAAACCCTAAACCCTAAACCCTAAACCCTAAACCCTAAACCCTAAACCCTAAACCCTAAACCCTAAACCCTAAACCCTAAACCCTAAACCCTAAACCCTAAACCCTAAACCCTAAACCCTAAACCCTAAACCCTAAACCCTCAACCCTCCCCTAGGGTCCCAAAAGTGAATATCCCACAGTAACGCCCCAAGAGCCCTGTGCTAGTTATGAAGGCCCCCCAAGTCCTACTCCCTCTCAAGTCTCAAGTCAAAGATGCCTCGTTCAGGGTTTAGGGTTTAGGGTTTAGGGTTTAGGGCTCTTGCCGCCGAGAACATCTCGGTCCAGCAGATGCTTGGCCGACGAAGGCAGCGCGAGGAGAAGGAGCAGGAGAAGGCCCTTGGGGCCCACAAACCTTCTGCGGCTTCTTTAGGGTTTTTGCTTAGGGGGGTTCAGGGTTTAGGGTTTAGGGTTTAGGGTGTAGGGTTTAGGGTTTAGAGTTTAGGGGTTAGGGGTTAGGTTTCTTTTCTTGTTTGGGGTTTACGAGGACCTCACCCCAGGTATCATGCCGGGGTCCCAAGAAACCCAGGAGGCAGCCCCACAAACCCCATACTTACTACGTCCTAAACCCTACAGAAACCGCATGAATCCTACAGGCACTATAAAAAACCTCATCGCAACCGTATCACAAGCCAGGTTTGAAACCCTGCAAAACTTTCTAAAAACCCTCGCTAGGAGTAGTCTACTCAGATCGGGGGCCTAAACAATTAGAACAGGGTTTTGGCTGTCACTATATTCGAAGTATAATGGGACCCTAAGAGAATACCATTAGTAATAGTATTCCCTTATGGTCCCTAGATAGTTATACGAGAATAACCCCACCAAAACCCTCTCATAATAGTAGTTCTTCCGATCCCAAAAATAACCTCGCGGCCAGGAAAGGCTGCGTCGTGAGCACGAGCACTCCAGGCCTGGAATGAGGGTTTAGGGTTTAGGGTTTCGGGTTTAGGGTTTAGGGTTTAGGGTCCTAAAAGCCTCAGTGCTTCAAATTGTCAGACAATAGCCAGACAAAGCTGAATATTAAATTCAAAACCGTTGATCTCTTCCGTGGTAGCCAGAATATGCAGAAGCGTCATCATCATCATCATCATCATCATCATCATCATCATCATCATCATCATCATCATCATCATCATCATCATCATCATCACCATCACCATCATCGTCATCGTCATCGTCATCGTCATCGTCATCGTCGTCGTCGTCATCATCATCATCATCATCATAAAAAGGCGCAAGTGGGAGCCATGAGACAAGCGAGTGAGCATCGCCCAGGAACATTCAGGTTGGGGCATTCCGGAGCTCAAAGCCCGGAGCGCCTCCGAGCCACGAAGCGGCTCCCAAGAACCCCAAGCTGTGACTCCCCTGAGCATTGCAAGATCTTGAAGAATGAGCCCTTCTTGATGGGTTCAATGCCCTGAACCCCAAACCCTCAACCCTAAACCCCCAAAACCCCAAAACCCCAAAACCCCAAAACCCCAAAACCCCAAAACCCCAAAACCCCAAAACCCTAGATCGGACGACGCCCCAAACCCTTGGCGCACACCCGAAGGTGGCTCCTGAACTCGGGTGCGAGGACCCTGTTCCTTGGCAGATTCAGGGGGCCTTGTGGGTTCCAGCCCAAGGTTTGAGGGTTTTAGGGCTTTGGGCCCCAAGGGTTTGTTTCGGGTTTAGGGTTTAGGGTTTAGGGTTTAGGGTTTAGGGTTTAGGGTTTAGGGTTTAGGGTTTAGGGTTTAGGGTTTAGGGTTTAGGGTTTAGGGTTCTTAGAACGGGGGGTTAGGATGGCTGCCGTGGGCAGGATGATGGGCGTTCAGAGCACTTGAGATCACAGTTTGCGGCTCCTAAGACTCCAATATAGTGGCCTTTGGAATCGGGTTTAGGGTTTAGGGTTTAGGGTTTAGGGTTTAGGGTTTAGGGTTTAGGGTTTAGGGTTTAGGGTTTAGGGTTTAGGGTTTAGGGTTTAGGGTTTAGGGTTTAGGGTTTAGGGTTAATGATAGCATACTTCTAAAGGGACCAGAAGTGACTACTATCCTATGCTATAGGGGCGCATCCCCTCACATCATATCAAGGTCCTGGGAGGAGCGGCAGGAGCAGGCTCGGCTGCTTGGTTTAGGGTTCAGGGTTCAGGGTTTCGGGTTTAGGGTTTAGGGTTTAGGGTTTAGGGTTCAGGGTAAACGGCTGGTGCCCCACATGATGTCCCTTTCGAAAAAGGCACATGCTGCCACGCACCCTTTATGTTCAACCCGAGAAGGGACCCCACAATTTTGCTCCCTGCCCCCGCCCTACAAACCTTGCCAACAAAAGCACCCCAAACCCTAAACCCTCAACACCAAACCCTAACCCTAAACCCTAAACCCTAAACCCTAAACCCCAAACCCTGAACCCTCAACCCCAAACCCCAAACCCTAAACCTAAACCCTTCACCCTAAAAACCTAAATCCTAAACCCTAAACCCGAAATCCCCGCCCTAAACAAAATAGCATCAAACAAATGCAACAAAAGCAGAGAGGTAGCGTCCCCAACGCTGCAGGTCATGCTGAGAAGGCGGCAGCACAACCAGGACCCGGCTTAGGGTTTAGGGTTTAGGGTTTTTGGGTTTAGTGTCGGTCCCTTCCTTCTCTTTATCTTGCGCAGCCCCTTGTCCCCCAATGTGCCGTGGATGGGCGCCAGCGGGCTTAGCTTCCGGCCGACGATTCGCGCCCGCCTACAACCCTAAAACCCCCAAACCCTGTACTAAGACCCTAAGGCAACAAAAGCCTGAAGGCCCCCTAGAAACCACTAAAAGCCCAAGAGCCCTCTTCAATTCCTGATGAGCCCTGAAGTCCCAATGTAAACCCCGAAGTCAGAGACCGCCGGCCCAGGAGGAGGCTTACCGCCGCCTCGCCGCCACGCGGGAAGCGAGGAAGCTGGTCAAAGGCGGGTTCAGGGTCTTAGGGAAAAAGGGTTCAGGGTTTTAGAGAAAAAGGGGTTCAGGGTTTTGGGGGCTTTTTGGTTTAGAAACAAGGGTTTTAAGGTTTAGGGTTTCAAGGGGTTTAGGGCTTTAAGCTTTGGGGCCGCGGTTGATGAGTGGTTCTTGCTTGCGCTTACTTGTGAGCGTTCTAATTACCTAAAGCCTAAACCCTAAACCCTAAACTTTAAAATCTAAACCCTAAACCCTAAACCCTAAACCCTAAACCCTAAACCCTAAACCCTAAACCCTAAACCCTAAACCCTAAACCCTAAACCCTAAACCCCCCTAAACCCTAAACCCTAAACCCTAAACTCTAAAATCTGAACCCTAAACCCTAAACCCTAAACCCTAAACCCTAAACCCTAAACCCTAAACCCTAAACCCTAAACCCTAAACCCTAAACCCTAAACCCTAAACCCTTACTTCCCTCAACTCAACTACCCCCCCAGCTTCTTCCAGACCCCGCCGCGTGGCGTTCGCAGGTGTCGGCCTTCCCGAGGAGCTTCCGTCGGTGCCGGGGGTCCCCAGCCGCGAGCTGCACGCCTTGGGGGCGGTGGAGGGGGACGAGCTCTGCTAACAGACGCGTTAGCACTACGCTGAGCATTTTTTCGGCCTTGTTGCTTTATGTTATTGGTGATGTTCCTCTTCGTTCCAGTGTAGATCATGACGGTGTGCTGTTTTCTCTGAGACCAGGGAGCTCGAAACCCTCAATTTGGGGGGGCCAAAGTGCTTCGCCCCCTCGAAAAGAGCTCCACGTGAAGTCACCGAAGCAATGTTTAATGTTTGTGGCTTAGGGCGAAGTCTCGGAGCTTCGGGCTGTAGCATTCAGGGTTCAGGGTGAAGTTTAGGGGCGTGAGGGATTCAGGGCCCAGGTTAAGTCGAAGGATCTAGGGCTTGAGGCCAGTCCTTACGCTCTCTGCGCTGAGTAAGCAAAAGTAGAGCTATAGGGGTGCCATACAATATCGAACCATGCAGGGGTTACTATGGGCACCCACTCCTCTACTCCTCCCCTCCCGGTCAAGCACCATAGAAATTTTGGGGTTGTCAGGAGGATGTCGGGGCCGGGTGAGAAGGGGTGCAAGGATAAACACCAGCTTGCCACCCACATGCTCCTCCCACCCTGCGCTGCCTTCAAATGCCTCGGTGCACTGGGCTGCACATACCTTTGCATGCTGTGCAGTGGCGTTCGATCTTTTATTGCATGTACGTTCGCCTACGACGACGGCGCGACCTTGATTGAGGTCGCGAAGCCAGGTCGCGAAACCCAACGTTTTGTGGAGACCCCTGGTTCCCTGTAAAGCAGTAAAGCACTAAAACCCCCAAAATCCTTCGATATCATACTGCATCTAGCTGTTCGTGGCGATTCTGCTCGTAGCTAGGACAGCCGTCGTTGTAGCTCGACCCCCGAGCCCAGCGCGATGGGGCTGCAACCCTCTCTCCTCCCAGAGAACTAGTGTGTTTCTGGAAGTCTTTGAAGTAGTGACCGTACAGACACAGGTATGCTTATCACAATCGTATCATGGTACCAAAATGCGAGGGGGAGGTGAGTAGGTCGTTAATGATCGAAGCGCAAGGCAAAGCCTGCGCTCTGGACCGCAAGGCCAAAAGTTCTCCGGCTCCTACATGGTTAGGGTGTAGGAGTTTAGGGGCCTCGGGATTATGTTGCTGTTGCTAAGCTTCCCGGGCCCTGTGAGTGACGGCCGGTTGCTGCTCGTGTCGGAACACAACGCGGTGCTTCCCAAAGACATTTCCCGTGTAAGCGCCGTTCCCAACATGTCGAGTGGCTGCAAGAGCTGACCTCGGGAGCTATTTCCAGCATTTTCAGCTCAAGCTCACACTTTTCGGTACTTGGCTCACCCATGGCACCCGTTCAATCTCGCTTCGTCACAGCAGGCCTCGCGGCAGGCCTCGTCGCCTCTGCCGCCTTCGTCGCGCCTTCCGCTCCGAGTGCTAAGCGCCAGCTGAGGGAAGGCACTGCAGCTCCATCACCCGGCCGCACGGTGGCTGCAGAGAAGTCGGGCGATGGCCTCGCAGCGTTGGCTGTGCTTGGTGCGGGCCTTGCCGCCCTGCGCGGCAACTCCCGCGTCCAGGCGAGGGCCGCGCCGGCAGCGGAGGCGCCAAAGCCATCAGTCTTCCAGCCTTCGGAGCAGTTCGGCGCCACCGAGCCGTTGGGATTCTTTGATCCGCTCGGGTTCACCAATGTTGGCGATGAGAAGGGCTTCAGGAAGCTTCGTGTCTCAGAGATCAAACATGGCAGGGTAGCTATGATGGCTTCCATTGGCCTGGTTGGGCAGCACTTCTTGAAGTTCCCCTTCTTCGAGAAAGCTCCAGCGGGCTTCTCCATCATGGACAAGGGCGAGGGCGTGCTGGGCTTCTTCGCCATCTTCTGCGCGTGCGCTCCGCTGGAGCTGTGGTGGAGGGAGAACCCGGAGAAGGAGCCGGGCAACTACGGTGATCCCTTCGGCGTCAACATGTACAACGAGGAGATGCGCATGAAGGAGCTGAACAACGGACGCATGGCCATGATCTCGGTGCTCGGAATCTTCGCCGCAGAGATGGCTACCGGCAAGGATGCTATGCAGCAGTTCGGCCTCCCCGCCATTGGCGGCGCCCGCGTCTCCGCCACCTCCGGCAGCAGCTTCGCAGGATCTACTTCCTCCAGGGTCATGGCTCAGCAGCATGTGGTGCGAAGGGCCGAGGCCGTCATTCAGGAAGATGCGCCGCCATTGTTTCAGCCTTCGGAGCAGTTCGGCGCCACCGAGCCGTTGGGATTCTTTGATCCGCTCGGGTTCACCAATGTTGGCGATGAGAAGGGCTTCAGGAAGCTTCGTGTCTCAGAGATCAAACATGGCAGGGTAGCTATGATGGCTTCCATTGGACTGGTCGGACAGCACTTCTTGAAGTTCCCGTTCTTCGAGAAAGCTCCAGCTGGCTTCTCCATCATGGACAAGGGCGAGGGCGTGCTGGGCTTCTTCGCCATCTTCTGCGCATGCGCTCCGCTGGAGCTGTGGTGGAGGGAGAACCCGGAGAAGGAGCCGGGCAACTACGGTGATCCCTTCGGCGTCAACATGTACAATGAGGAGATGCGCATGAAGGAGCTGAACAACGGGCGCACGGCCATGACCTCGGTGCTCGGAATCTTCGCCGCAGAGATGGCCACGGGCAAGGATGCTATGCAGCAGTTCGGCCTCCCTGCCATCGGCAGCGCCCGCGTCTCCACCTCCTCCGGCAGCAGCTTCGCAGGATCTACTTCCTCTAGGGTGATGGCTCAGCAGCATGTGGTGCGAAGGGCCGAGGCCGTCATTCAGGAAGATGCGCCGCCATTGTTTCAGCCTTCGGAGCAGTTCGGCGCCACCGAGCCGTTGGGATTCTTTGATCCGCTCGGGTTCACCAATGTTGGCGATGAGAAGGGCTTCAGGAAGCTTCGTGTCTCAGAGATCAAACATGGCAGGGTAGCTATGATGGCTTCCATTGGACTGGTCGGACAGCACTTCTTGAAGTTCCCCTTCTTCGAGAAAGCTCCAGCTGGCTTCTCCATCATGGACAAGGGCGAGGGCGTGCTGGGCTTCTTCGCCATCTTCTGCGCGTGCGCTCCGCTGGAGCTGTGGTGGAGGGAGAACCCGGAGAAGGAGCCGGGCAACTACGGTGATCCCTTCGGCGTCAACATGTACAACGAGGAGATGCGCATGAAGGAGCTGAACAACGGACGCATGGCCATGATCTCGGTGCTCGGAATCTTCGCCGCAGAGATGGCTACCGGCAAGGATGCTATGCAGCAGTTCGGCCTCCCCGCCATTGGCGGCGCCCGCGTCTCCGCCACCTCCGGCAGCAGCTTCGCAGGATCTACTTCCTCCAGGGTGATGGCTCAGCAGCATGTGGTGCGAAGGGCCGAGGCCGTCATTCAGGAAGATGCGCCGCCATTGTTTCAGCCTTCGGAGCAGTTCGGCGCCACAGAGCCGTTGGGATTCTTTGATCCGCTCGGGTTCACCAATGTTGGCGATGAGAAGGGCTTCAGGAAGCTTCGTGTCTCAGAGATCAAACATGGCAGGGTAGCTATGATGGCTTCCATTGGACTGGTCGGGCAGCACTTCTTGAAGTTCCCGTTCTTCGAAAAAGCTCCAGCTGGCTTCTCCATCATGGACAAGGGCGAGGGCGTGCTGGGCTTCTTCGCCATCTTCTGCGCGTGCGCTCCGCTGGAGCTGTGGTGGAGGGAGAACCCCGAGAAGGAGCCGGGCAACTACGGTGATCCCTTCGGCGTCAACATGTACAACGAGGAGATGCGCATGAAGGAGCTGAACAACGGACGCATGGCCATGATCTCGGTGCTCGGAATCTTCGCCGCAGAGATGGCTACCGGCAAGGATGCTGTGCAGCAGTTCGGCCTTTAGATTCCACTTTCTCAGACTGCCAGACTCTCAGACTGCTAGACACTCGCCACGTCACAAATAAGCAAAGTTTCCGTTTGTGAGCGTCGCCATAATTTCCCTTTCGGTCCTTGCACAAAACAGCAAGTTGACCCGCCGCAGTTTCATGATTTTCGAGCTCTGTCTTCCGGATGCTCTTACGTTTCAGAATGTCTGTAGACTCTGTAGACTCACTGTAGACCGCGCCTGATCCATGGCATCCCAAAGACGCCGTCAATCTGCTCTGGGCGTGTAACCCTAACCGGCATCCAACCCGAACTCATAACCTTCGCTAAACCCTAAACCCTAAGCCCTAAACCCTAAACCTTAACCCCTAAAACCTAAACCCTAAGCCCTAAGCCGAGCCTAAGCCCCAAACCCCAAACCCCAAACCCCAAACCCTAAACCCTCAACCCTCAACCCTAAACCCTAAACCCTAAACCCTCACCCCTCAACCCTCCAACCCTAGACCCTCAACCCTGAGCCAAGAATCCTAAGATTCAAGTCATCAGGCTACGGTCTCCCCCCCCCCCCCTTCTTAAGTCTAAGAATTTTGGGCTCAATTGCAGGCGCGAAGGGAGTTGCGGGGTGAACCCTAAACCCTAAACCCTAAGCCCTAAACCCCGAGATGCGACTACTTTTTTTTTGTTGAGAGATCGACTAACAGTGTGAGTTGGCCTAGGGTTTAGGGTTTAGGGTGAATCTTTAACTTATTTTGGCGTTTTAGGGTTTAGGGTTTAGGGTTTTTGCATCATGCCTATAATCCCCACACAGTCCCGGAAAACATCGTTTATGCCCGAATGTCCGAAGTCTTACAACCTTTCAGAGGTTTCTCTTCTGCAGAAGAGTCACATGAGGGTTTCCTACATTGGGGGGTACCTTCTTGGAGTCCTGATTAGACGGGAATCCTACTTTTTTGGGGAGCATTTTGGATCGATGCTCTCGGTTTTGGCCCTTGGAGATCTCCCTACACATTCTACCGCGGCTCGCGGCCTCTTGCGTCTTTGTTGTATTGTTGTAACAGCTGCAACAAGCATGCTCAGACCTCCGACGCCCGAAGCCCCAAGCCCTAAACCCCAACCCATTGTAGTATGGTTACTGGGCTAGGAAGATGCCCAAGCAGGGGTTTCACATTTTTTGTTGGGGGTTGCACTGAGGGATTCGTCAACGATCCGTGCTATGTTGCTTACGCGGATGTCGGAAGGTTTCTCTGAACTAAGTTTGGAACAAGGGGCCCGTGAACTCACCCTCATCCCCAAAACGGAAGACTGAAAAAACAGTGACAATGTCGGCGTGCCCATGGTTTGGGGTTTAGGAGTTTAGGGTTTATGGGGTTTATGGCTTCAGGATTTTTGGGGATTCGGTTGAAGAAAGCGATCAATGCCGTTTGCCTTTGGCGCAGTCCTGCACTGCAAAAGCTGGCTTCGGGAGCTATTTTCAGCTCAAGCTCACACTTTTCGGTACTTGGCTCACCCATGGCACCCGTTCAATCTCGCTTCGTCACAGCAGGCCTCGCGGCGGGCCTCGTCGCCTCTGCCGCCTTCGTCGCGCCTTCCGCTCCGAGTGCTAAGCGCCAGCTGAGGGAAGGAACTGCAGCTCCGTCGCCCGCTCGCGCGGTGGCTGCAGAGAAGTCGGGCGATGGCCTCGCAGCGTTGGCTGTCCTTGGTGCGGGGCTGGCTGCCCTGCGCGGCAACTCCCGCGTCCAGGCGAGGGCCGCTTCGGCAGCGGAGGCGCCAAAGCCATCAGTCTTCCAGCCTTCGGAGCAGTTCGGCGCCACCGAGCCGTTGGGATTCTTTGATCCGCTCGGGTTCACCAATGTTGGCGATGAGAAGGGCTTCAGGAAGCTTCGTGTCTCAGAGATCAAGCATGGCAGGGTAGCTATGATGGCTTCCATTGGACTGGTCGGGCAGCACTTCTTGAAGTTCCCCTTCTTCGAGAAAGCTCCAGCTGGCTTCTCCATCATGGACAAGGGCGAGGGCGTGCTGGGCTTCTTCGCCATCTTCTGCGCGTGCGCTCCGCTGGAGCTGTGGTGGAGGGAGAACCCGGAGAAGGAGCCGGGCAACTACGGTGATCCCTTCGGCGTCAACATGTACAACGAGGAGATGCGCATGAAGGAGCTGAACAACGGACGCATGGCCATGATCTCGGTGCTCGGAATCTTCGCCGCAGAGATGGCTACCGGCAAGGATGCTATGCAGCAGTTCGGCCTCCCCGCCATTGGCGGCGCCCGCGTCTCCGCCACCTCCGGCAGCAGCTTCGCAGGATCTACTTCCTCCAGGGTCATGGCTCAGCAGCATGTGGTGCGAAGGGCCGAGGCCGTCATTCAGGAAGATGCGCCGCCATTGTTTCAGCCTTCGGAGCAGTTCGGCGCCACCGAGCCGTTGGGATTCTTTGATCCGCTCGGGTTCACCAATGTTGGCGATGAGAAGGGCTTCAGGAAGCTTCGTGTCTCAGAGATCAAACATGGCAGGGTAGCTATGATGGCTTCCATTGGACTGGTCGGGCAGCACTTCTTGAAGTTCCCCTTCTTCGAGAAAGCTCCAGCTGGCTTCTCCATCATGGACAAGGGCGAGGGCGTGCTGGGCTTCTTCGCCATCTTCTGCGCGTGCGCTCCGCTGGAGCTGTGGTGGAGGGAGAACCCGGAGAAGGAGCCGGGCAACTACGGTGATCCCTTCGGCGTCAACATGTACAACGAGGAGATGCGCATGAAGGAGCTGAACAACGGACGCATGGCCATGATCTCGGTGCTCGGAATCTTCGCCGCAGAGATGGCTACCGGCAAGGATGCTATGCAGCAGTTCGGCCTCCCCGCCATTGGCGGCGCCCGCGTCTCCGCCACCTCCGGCAGCAGCTTCGCAGGATCTACTTCCTCCAGGGTGATGGCTCAGCAGCATGTGGTGCGAAGGGCCGAGGCCGTCATTCAGGAAGATGCGCCGCCATTGTTTCAGCCTTCGGAGCAGTTCGGCGCCACAGAGCCGTTGGGATTCTTTGATCCGCTCGGGTTCACCAATGTTGGCGATGAGAAGGGCTTCAGGAAGCTTCGTGTCTCAGAGATCAAACATGGCAGGGTAGCTATGATGGCTTCCATTGGCCTGGTTGGGCAGCACTTCTTGAAGTTCCCCTTCTTCGAGAAAGCTCCAGCGGGCTTCTCCATCATGGACAAGGGCGAGGGCGTGCTGGGCTTCTTCGCCATCTTCTGCGCGTGCGCTCCGCTGGAGCTGTGGTGGAGGGAGAACCCGGAGAAGGAGCCGGGCAACTACGGTGATCCCTTCGGCGTCAACATGTACAACGAGGAGATGCGCATGAAGGAGCTGAACAACGGACGCATGGCCATGATCTCGGTGCTCGGAATCTTCGCCGCAGAGATGGCTACCGGCAAGGATGCTATGCAGCAGTTCGGCCTCCCCGCCATTGGCGGCGCCCGCGTCTCCGCCACCTCCGGCAGCAGCTTCGCAGGATCTACTTCCTCCAGGGTCATGGCTCAGCAGCATGTGGTGCGAAGGGCCGAGGCCGTCATTCAGGAAGATGCGCCGCCATTGTTTCAGCCTTCGGAGCAGTTCGGCGCCACCGAGCCGTTGGGATTCTTTGATCCGCTCGGGTTCACCAATGTTGGCGATGAGAAGGGCTTCAGGAAGCTTCGTGTCTCAGAGATCAAACATGGCAGGGTAGCTATGATGGCTTCCATTGGACTGGTCGGACAGCACTTCTTGAAGTTCCCGTTCTTCGAGAAAGCTCCAGCTGGCTTCTCCATCATGGACAAGGGCGAGGGCGTGCTGGGCTTCTTCGCCATCTTCTGCGCGTGCGCTCCGCTGGAGCTGTGGTGGAGGGAGAACCCCGAGAAGGAGCCGGGCAACTACGGTGATCCCTTCGGCGTCAACATGTACAACGAGGAGATGCGCATGAAGGAGCTGAACAACGGACGCATGGCCATGATCTCGGTGCTCGGAATCTTCGCCGCAGAGATGGCTACCGGCAAGGATGCTGTGCAGCAGTTCGGCCTTTAGATTCCACTTTCTCAGACTGCCAGACTCTCAGACTGCCAGACGCTCGCCGCGTCACAAATAAGTAAAGTTTCCGTTTGTGAGCGTCGCCATAATTTCCCTTTCGGTCCTTGCACAAAACAGCAAGTTGACCCGCCTCAGTTTCATGATTTTCGAGCTCTGTCTTCCGGAAGCTCTTACGTTTCAGAATGTCTGTAAACTCTGTAGACCGTGTCTGCTCCATGGCATCTCAAAGACACCGTCAGTCTGCTCTGGGCTCGTAACCCTCACAGGCCTCCAACCCGAACCCGCCACCCTTCGACCCTCCAGAGGGTGCCGTAAATGCTGCGTGGAACGCCCTAAACCCCAACCCTAAACCCTAAACCCCAAACCCTAAACCCTAAACCCTAAACCCGAAACCCTAAACCCCGAACCCTGAAACCCCAAACCCTGAACGCTCAACCGCTCGATGCAACTCCCCAATTCCGTCGAGAGATTGACCAGCAGTCTGAGTTGGCCTAGGGTTTAGGCGGTTTCGGGTTTAGGGTTAGGGTTTAGGGTTAGGGTTTAGGATTTAGGGTTTAGGGTTTAGGGTTTAGGGTTTAGGGTGATTGCATTACACGTATAATCCCCACACAGTCCTGGAAAGCATCGTTTATGCCCGAATGTGAGAAGTCTTACAACCTTTCAGATTTCTTTTCAGGAGAAGAATCAAATGGGCGTTTCCTAAACTTGCGTCTTTGCTGTAACAGCTGCAACAAGCATGCTCAAACCTGCGATGCCCGAAGCCGCAAACCATAACCCCCAACCCTAAACCGTAAACCCTAAACTCTCACAGTATTCCCTGTACGCAGTTCACTCAGTAACCCCTTGCAAGCCCTAATCGAATCCCCAAAAAAATCCAAAACCCTAAACCCAGCACCCAAAAACCCAAAACCCTAAACCCTAAAAACCCGAACCCCGCAATCCTAAAACCCTTAGAAACCCAACTCTAGACCCGAAAGTTAAACCCTAAAGCCTAAACCCTAAGCCCTAAACCCTAAACCCTAAACCCTAAACCCTAAACCCTAAACCCTACAAAGCCCTGAAGCCATGGGTCGCGCCTCGAAGTCCTTCTTTGTCGCTGCTGTCTTCTGTGGGCTAGCCCTGGCACCCCAGCTGGGACTCCAAAACTACCAGGTGGGGGTTTTAGGGTTTAGGGTTTGGGGTTTAGGGTTTGGGGTTTAGGGTTTAGGGTTTAGGGTTTGGGGTTTAGGGTTTAGGGTTTGGGGTTTAGGGTTTCGGGGAACTCCAGGCGCTTTTTGGGGCTTCGGAGTGCGGTTCACAAGTTGGGATGTTCCCCCTTTGTACTAATAGTCCTTAGTAGGGATTATCGTACCTCCCCATTTTCATCCCTATTAAGGACTGCGAGCTTCAGGGGTTGCAATTTCAAGTTTGGGGTTTCAGGTTTAGGCTTGCGGGGTGGGTCTAGTTTACGAAAGATGGCCCAGTAGGCAGCGCAGCGGTGCCCTTCTGCGCTGTTCCGGTTCAGGCTTTCTTCAAGGATAGCACCAAAAAGGGTGCCTTTATGGTGGTATCCCGAAACCCTAAACCTAAACCCTAAACCCGAAACCCGAAACCCTAAACCCTAAACCCTAAACCCTAAACCCTAAACCCTAAGCCCTAAGCCCTAAGCCCTAAACCCTAAACCCTAAACCCTAAACCCTAAATGTATGGTTTCTGGGCTACAAAGATGCTCCAAGCGGGGTTTCCTAGTTTCTGTTAGGCATTGCGCGGGCTCATGAGCTCTTGAGGGATGATTCGAGGATTTGTGCTGTTTTGCTTGCGCGGGTTTTGAAAGGCTCCTCTGGAGCAAGTTTGGAACAGGGGGCCCGTGAACTCACCCTCATCCCTAAACCCCCTGGAACTCTACTTACCTACAGCTGACTAGGAACTACCCATAGTAGGTGTAACCCATAAAGCTGTAGGTAAAGGGGGTCCAGGTAGAGTTTAGGGTTTCGGGGGTTATGATATTGAACTTTCGCTCTGGGCCCCCCTTTCTTGGTAGCATCGTATTCTGAGCCTGCCTGATATTAGGAACTATAATGACAGGATAACAAGCACTCACGCTAAGATCGCCCCAAACCCCAAACCCCAAACCCCAAACCCCAAACCCCAAACCCCAAACCCCAAACCCCAAACCCCAAACCCCAAACCCCAAACCCCAAACCCCAAACCCCAAACCCCAAACCCCAAACCCTAAGCCCTAAGCCCTAAACCACCTTAAACCCTAAACCCTAAACTCTAAACCATAAAGTAGGTCCTCGGCCGCAGGTGAATTCCGCCACCCGCATGGAGCAGCTCGTTCCTGGGCTTCATAAATCTTTCATCGACTCCGAAGCAATCAAGTCCTAGGACGCGAGTTTGCTTTCAGGGCAGAAAAGGGTTCAGGGTTTTGGGTTTAGGGTTTAGGGTTTAGGGTTTTGGGATTAGGGTTTTGGGTTTAGGGTCAAACCAGGCACTCAAAGAGCAACCCTAGACCAGCAAAAAATTTCATGCTTGGGCGCTGAGCTACTGTCTCCTCCTGGGATGCTCCCCCTTATACTAACAGTCCTTAATAGGGTTCAGGGTTTCGGGTTTGGGGTTTAGGGTTCGGGTTCAGGGATTGGGTACTATCGTCCCTACTAAAGACTCTTCGTATAAGGGGGACGGGGGCAGGGCCTCGGTGGCCCGAGGCAATTTATTCATCTAGCAGCACATGGGGGTTTACGAAGATAAGGGGCCCCCACAACAGCCCCCCAAATAGTGGGATTCCCTTCCAAAGGACGCCAAGAAGGTACCCCGAATTTCGGACACCCCCACGTGGATCACGCTCGGAGTCCTTGAAAAGAAGATCCCATGCCTCGAGGGAGCCATGAGCGGGCAAGGGCTCTGCCTACTCCCCTTAAATCCTCCAGGGGTGGGCTTGAACATAATTGTTAAAATTCTTCTTACCCTTCAAAAACCCCCTCGGCAATCCTTAGTAAAGCCATGCAATTAACCCTACACCCTAAACCCTAACCCTAAACCTCTGCTTGCACGAGATGCTTTGTAGGACTGGGAAACGGTTGGACAGCAACTAGGGGTTTAGGGTTTAGGGGTTTAGGGGTTTAGGGTTTAGGGGTTCGAATAAGAGAGTTCCTTTCTAGTTCGCAGACTGAACACACCGAGTTCTTGAAGAAGAACACCAGAACCCGACCCCAAAACGGCCCGAGAACCCTAAACCCTCAACCCTCAACCCTAAACCCTAAACCCTAAACCCTAAACCCTAAACCCTAAACCCTGAACCCTAAACCCTAAACCTCAAGCCCGCAGCGGCCCCGCAGCCCAGGGGGCGCCGCTTGCACAAGAGGCGGGAGCCGAGCCGGCGGTGTCGGAGGCCGCACCCTACGTTCCAGGTTCTGTTTATCGATTGGTTAATAGGGTTTAGGGTGTAGGGTTTAGGGTTTAGGGTTTAGGGTTTGGGGTTTAGGGTTTAGGGGTTGGGGGGGGGGGGTACTGTCGTCCCTATTCGAGAGGAGATGGGGTGTGCTTCATTGTTTGATTGCATACAAGATTTGCCATTTTTTGGGCATTTTGTTCAAGCAGCATGTGCTCCGAGTTATTTGTGAAGCGAAAGTCGTGCCCAGGATTTGCTTGCTTTCCCCTTTAGTAGGCTGGCCTCTCCGACAAGATGATGTTAGGCAGTTTGAAAAAAGGTTGCCTAGGCTTGCGGCGATGTATAGTTTCGATACGCGGTAGCTCCCAGCCAGATTTCAATGACTTCTCCCAAAGCCTGACCCCAAAGCAAGCCCAAACCCCACACAGCATTTGCAACGGCCCCTAAAACAACTGAACCCTAAACTCTAAACTCTAAACCGTCTAAACCGTAAGCTCTGAACCCTAAACCCTAAACGTTCAAGCCCCTGTAACTTGAACTTTTTCCAAACTTAAAACGAGATTTTCCTCGAACCTTTCCTTGAAACTCCCCGAAACTTCCCGGAACTCTCCGAAACTTCTCCTGGACCCTCAATAATGTCAATAACCCCTAAACCCTAAACCCTAAACCCTAAACCCAAAACCCAAAGCCCTAAGCCCTAAACCCTAAACCCTAAACCCTAACCCCTAAACCCTAGCGCCCTGAACCCTAAAGCCCTAAGCCCTAAACCCTAAACCCTAAACCCCGAACCCCGAACCCCAAACCCTAAACCCTAAACCCTAAACCCTAAACCCTAAACCCTAAACCCTAAACCCTAAACCCTAAACCCTAGCGCCCTGAACCCTAAAGCCCTAAACCCTAAAACGCCGCGCAGTCTGGAAGCAATGCATCGTCCTTTCATGTTGTGGTGAAGCCCAATCCAGACACAACTAAAGTTACAGAAGCCTTCCTAGAAAATTTCCGAAACTCCTCGAAACTTCCCCGGACCTGAACCCTTAATAATTTCAATCGAAACTCCCCGGCAGTCCTCCAAACTTCCCTGGACCTGAACCTTTAATAATTTCAATAAACCCTAAACCCTATATAGACCCTAAACCCTAAACCCTAGCCCTAAACCCTAAACCTCAAGCCAGGGACGTACACGGGGGTCTCAGTCTAAACCCTAAACCCTAAACCCTACAACCTAGACCCTAGACCCTAGACCCTAAACCCTAAACCCTAAACCCTAAACCCTAAACCCTAGACCCTAGGCCCTAGACCCTAAACCCTAGACCCTACACCCTGAACCTGGTCTCTGTCAAGGCCGACGCTGCCAGTGCCTTCAAGTCATTTGAGCCTGGGCCGGCCCACCAGTTCCCTTTTGCCCTATGTGGGTTGGGGTTTCAGGGTTTAGGGTTTAGGGTTTCGGGTTTAGGGTTTAGGGTTTCGGGTTTCCGGTTTTAGGCTTTTAAGCTTTTAGGCTTCTAGGCTTTTAGGCTTTTTAGGCTTGCGGGTTTGGTTGTGGAAGAACAGTAACAAGGAAATTCCTCAATAACAGCATCTAGCACCAGAAAGGGTATTGTCATGTGGTTGTTGGCCTACCAAGGAGCAGATACCCGTCGTGCAGCGATTTCGTGCCCGAGGGAAGGACTTCTGAGTAAGCGCGCAGGGATAGTCTATACTGATTGTTTGTGGATTGTGGGGGTTAGGGGTTCTGCAGAAGTACAGCTCAATCTTGCGTGTCCTGTGAATCACGACTGCATTACATCTGATCCTGTCTCCTTGCCTACCCTAAAAGATGAAGCTTGCGAAGCCGCGGCACTCCTGGCACTTGCAAGAACATTATGGGAGTTTCTCAGAACATCAGCTCTTCCAAAATCGTTAAAGTTCGGAGTCCACTCTGTCTGGAGTGGACAAGGGGGTGTACTGCGGGCAGACGCTCAACATGGCAACAGACAAGCAGGCTATTGTGTGATCTGAGTTGTGCACACCCGGGTCATCCTGTGCAGTCCTTGTACTTTGTCAGCATAATATGGTGCCCTTCGAATGGTGATAGCTATCCAGCTTATCGTGTCGAGAAAGGCTTTCAAATACTACATCTGATCCTGATTTCGGTTCTTTTCAGAATCCTCACGGACAAGCTGAGATGTTCCCCCTCATACTAACAGTCCTTAATAAGGATTATCGGATTATGGTCCCCCCCCCCATTCTAATCCCTATGAAGGACTGTTAGTATAAGGGGGAGCATCCCATGTAGTAAACCCTAAACCCTAAACCGCGAGAATGGTGCGAAGCTTTAGGGCCCTGGAGCCCTAAGTAGGGCTGTGGCAATTCTATCTACACCCTGAACCCTGAACCCTAAACCCTGAACCCTAAACCCTAAACCCTAAACCCTGAACCCTAAACCCTAAACCCTGAACCCTAAACCCTGAAGACCGACGTGACAAGCGGAACTCCTTGAGTGAGAAACCCTGTGGCTGGTCGAGAAAGATTGCGGAGCCCTTTAGGGTTTAGCGTTTAGGGTTTAGGGTTTAGGGTTTAGGGTTTAGGGCTACAGAAGGCTTAGGGTGTACCATTTTCAGAAAACCCTAAACTCTAAACCCTACACCCTAAACCCTGAACCCTCAACCCCAAACCCCAAACCCTAAACCCAAAACCCAAAACCCTACACCCAAAAGCCTAAACCCTAAACCCCCAAAGCCTAAACCCCTAAACCCCAACCCCTAACCCCTAAACCCTAAACCCTAAACCCACCAAACCCTAAACCCTAAACCCTAAACCCTAAACCCTAAACCCTAAACCCTAAACCCTAAACCTCGCAGGAGGCCTGCGTGGAGAAGCCCAGCGCGGCGTTGGAAAGCGGGGGGCCCTGAGAAGTGAAGCGGCTCTGTCATCATCCTTCTGGGGTTCGGGGGTTTAGGGTTTAGGGTTTAGGGTTTAGGGTTTTAGGGAGGGTTTTGGGGTTTTAGGGTTTTGGGGTTTTGGGTTTTAGGGTTTAGGGTTTTAGGGTGTTAGGGTGTTAGGGTTTTAGGGTTTAGGGCTTTCTGATGAAGGCATCTGTGAGTTTGGTGACACGCCATCCTTTTTCTATGCCCATTATATACCTTAGGTAGGGTTTAGGGCTTAGGGCTTAGGGTTTAGGGTTTAGGGTTTAGGGTTTAGGGCTTAGGGTTTAGGGTTTGGGGTTTGGGGTTTAGGGTTTAGGGTTTGGGGTATCCCCGCAATAATGCCCCTGAAGGGGGGCCTCCATACTGGGCATGCTTTGGAGGCTGTATGCTTGCTGATAGATTTTTCAGGTCTGCGCCGCCCACAGAAGTAGGGATGTGCTCAAATTTAGGGATAAGTTACAAATTCACTGGCAACTTCTCATTCTGAATGAGTAAGCTGAGCACCTCCCACGTTACGCGAACTGTCACGTCCGCGTATGTGTTCTGTGCAGAACTAGCCTTGGATTACGATACCATTACTCTACCACTCATGGACCTTTCTCCCTGAACTGAGCTACTTCATCCCTCGCGCCCCTAAACCCCGAAACTTAATTAGACTCCGCCCTGAAAACCCCACACCTCAATCCCAATCCCTCAACCTTCCACCCTCAACGCTAAGCCTCAATTCTCAAATCTGTGCCCATCTTTTTCATAGTTCCAGGAATGATGCGAACATGGTATACTCGGGCATTGCGCGAAGCTTCTACGGGTTCGTGCGGATTGACGAAGGGGCACCGGTAGATGGTTTTGCTTCCTCCCGATGAAATCAGGGTTGGCCACACGTTACAGCTCCTGTTTTCAATAGCCTTCCATCCAACCCTAAACCCTATAGACCCTAGACCCTAGACCCTAAACCCTAAACCCTAAACCCTAAACCCTAAACCCTAAACCCTAAACCCTAAACCCTAAACCCTAAACCCTAAACCCTAAACCCTAAACCCTAAACCCTAAACCCCAAAACAGTAGCCTTCGAGCCAGGCTTTGGACTTCGGAAGAAGCTCTTCACAACGCAGAATGCCGGCCTCGGCAATGTGTTCTGGCAGACGCTGATGCTGGCTGTGGCAGGTGGGTTTAGGGTTTAGGGTGTAGGCGCCTGGGCAAAGTTCTCTCCTAGGACGAGGAGTAGGCCCTTGTGATTTTTTTCTAGGGTTGGGGTTCCCTTAAAACCAAAAAGAGTGACCTTTTTTATTCCTAGGTTACTCCTGGGTCTAGTCTCCGTGCGTGCTGAGCAACGCCCTTCATCCTGTCACATTTAGTGGTGGTGCTGGCGGTGGCCGTTGCAGCATCTCGAAGTTGTGTGAGGGTTTAGGGTTTAGGGTTTTAGGGTTTAGGGTTTAGGGTTTAGGGTTTAGGGTTTAGGGTTTAGGGTTTAGGATTTAGGATCTAGGGTTTAGGGTTTAGGGTTTAGCTGGTGTCAGTATTCGAGGGACAGAACCAGATCCTGACGGTAACACATACCGTGCCTGTGTGGAACACAAGGTTTTTAACTACGCCTTCGAACCCGAAGACTATACTATACAGCCTGTACCTGAATGAGCCTCACAAGTCTTGAGAATCTGCAATGCTACGTGAATGGTTACCCTAATCCTAAACCCTAAGCCCTAAGCCCTGAGCCCTAAACCCTAAACCCTAAACCCTAAACCCTAAACCCTAAACCCTAAACCCTAAACCCTAAACCCTAAACCCTAAACCCTAAACCCTAAACCCTAAACCCTAAACCCCGCTGGCTCAGGGGCACTGACGGATCGGGCGTTGGTCATCCAGCAGCGGCAGGACGCATGAGATGTCAGATAGTCTATGAGCTTGTGCCGTTAGAGCTAGCCCCTGGTTCTTAAGGTAGGGAGTGAGGGAATTAGGGCCCTCTGTATGCCCTTTAAAGGATTATATAGGCAGAGCTAATTTTCTTCAGCCAGAGATCACAACCATATTCAGATCACTTTGGCTCCTGTAAATATGCAAGTAAGCAAATGCATAATATCCGTATCAGTATCTGCATCAACGTCTAAACCAATATGGGAGGGGGGGGGTCCTCCCAGTCTATGGCCCGTGAAGTCACGTCAATCCGCAAAAGCAACTTTCCTATGCGGGTTTACGAAGATAGGGGTACCTTATTGGGGTCCTTATTGGAAAGGGAATCTTACTATTTGGGAGTCTAAATTAGCGGTCCTGTATTTTCGTAAACCCCCATATACAGAAAGAAGGATCCCCTGATTCACTTCGTCACAGGGCATGCGTGTCGTTCAGCAGGGCGAAATGTGTCGTTGATGAAGGGCTTGGTAGCCCAGTGGTACGCTACGACGCTGGGTGTTTCGCGATGGCAGGCACATTTTCGGAAATCCAAGTGTAGGGATGTTGTTCTGGGAAATTCGGAAGTACAAGCGAACCGCAACGAAGGAACAGATTTTCAGAATCCAAGTGTTGGGATTACTCTTCGGCCAACATTATGCATGAAAGCGAATGGCAGTCGAAAACATGAGCAAGCTGCGTACAGCCACATCAACAGGAAGAAACCGTCACAAAAAATGGCACAAACAATTTCAGAAGCAAGGTGTAAGGATTGTTTGTCGGCGAATATTACACATGCAAGCGAATGGCAGTCGAACACATAAGCAAGTAGTACACCAAAGCATAAACAATAAAGATACTGATTGCAAACTGTGCAAAACACAGTTTCCGAATCCTAGCGCAGGGGGTTTTTTTCCGCGAATATCGCTAGTATATTCAAATCGAAGTTGAAAAGATTAAACCTAATCGCTAAGTTCAGAAAACTCATATATAGCATGCAGCTGTAGGGATATAACAGAGACCGCAGTGCAGATGTAGGCGTAGAAAATTATGTGCGTGTGCGTAGGTATAAGATATGCAGTGTTTATATTAGGTCTTTGGATGCATACAAGCAACGCAAAGCTAAGAAGACCCCAAAGGTCTGGGGGGGGGGGGGGGGGGGGGGGGGCGGGGCTCATACATGTATACATGGTGCAATGTGTGCAGACACCCATTAAAAGCCCGCAATGGGAACCCTCAGTGGGCAAGAAGTGTCTTTCCACGTCTTCCAAAAACCAGGAGCAATATTCAAAACCAATTTTTTCACCACAACTTGCTCTGAAACAGGGTAGTGGGTGTAGGATATTTTATTGTATATGTAAGGTTGGAAAGGGTTTAGGGGTTTTAGTGTTGATAACAATGGCATGCCCTGATGACTTGTGATGCTGTTACTGGCGGCCGGAATGCTGCTCTGAGCTGCAGCACATGTGTTCTCTGAAAGTGCAGGTTTAGGGCTTAGGGTTTAGGGTTTAGGGTTTAGGGACCTCCGGTTGGCAGCAAGTCTACTCGTTCTCGTGAAGTATTTCGGGCCCGATGCTGCTCGTGGGTGTCATGAACACCGATCACTCTTCGACGACGCTGTATCTATACACCTAAGAGAACTTCCCCGATCACCCCTAAACCCTAAACCCTAAACCCTAAACCCTAAACCCTAAACCCTAAACCCTAAACCCTAAACCCTAAACCCTAAACCCTAAACCCTAAACCCTAAACCCTAAACCCTAAACCCTAAACCCTAAACCCTAAACCCTAAAACCGAAACCCTAAACCCTAAACCCTAAACCCTAAACCCTAAACCCTAAACCCTAAACTCTAAACTCTAAAACCCTAAACCCTAAACCCTAAACCCTAAACCCTAAGCCCTAAACCCTAAACCCTAAACCCTAAACCCTGAACCCTAAACCCTAAACCCTGAACCCTAAACCCACCCTTTTTCATGATAAACCAGGGGCGTGGAAGGGAGGGACGGTGTAAGGGCCCCATATCCCCCCAAATACGGGTTGAAGAATCTCTCAAGAAGCCTTCAGAAGCCCTGATGAGGGAGTATGGGCCCCTTTCACCCCCCCTTCCTTCCACCCCCATGGTTCCTTATGATTAGTCTAGGGTTTAGGGTTTAGGGTTTAGGGTTTAGGGTTGAGGGTTTAGGGTTTAGGGTTTAGGGTTCAGGGTAATGAATCCTCGGAAGGACCACATTGATCTGTCAGACTTTTTCACGGCCATCCAGAAGGCAGGCATCAACGACCAGGCGGGCGAAACGATGCCGGCCCTTTAGGGTTTAGGGTTTAGGGTTTAGGTTTAGGGTTTAGGGTTTAGGGTTTAGAGTTTAGGGTTTAGGCAGAATCCCCCATACATTCCGAACAAGTTCTCTCAGGATTCACTTTGTCAATCCGAAGGCAATTTATCAAGAGTATTGTGCGTCTCGGAGAATCCCATTCAAACCCCCCCAAGACCCTAAACACTGAAGAACCCCATACCCTAAACCCTACCTGCAACCCCAATTACTTACAGTTTAGTAGTAATTTCCCCTCCATGAATAGGCAGAACCCATACAACTGTAGGCAGTTGGGACCCTAAACCCTAAACCCTAAACCCTAAACCCTAAACCCTAAACCCTAAACCCTAAACCCTAAACCCTAAACCCTAAACCCTAAACCCTAAACCCTAGACCCTAAGACCCTAAAACCCTAAAACCCTAAAACACTAGAACCCTTAAACCCTAAAACCCTAAAACCCTAAGACCCTAAAACCCTAAAACCCTAGACCCCTAAAACCCTAAAACCCTAAAACCCTAAAACCCTAAAACCCTAAAACACTAGAACCCTTAAACCCTAAAACCCTAAAACCCTAAGACCCTAAAACCCTAAAACCCTAGACCCCTAAAACCCTAAAACCCTAAAACCCTAAAACCCTAAAACCTTAAAACCCTAAAACCCTAAAACCCTAAACCCTAGACCCTACACCCTAAACCCTAGATCCATGAACGTCTGAACCTCCCAGGCTGCCCGCGGCGCACACGCGCTCCAGAGTCGGGCTTGGAGTTGGACGGATCTGCTTCCTGGTAGTTTTTGTCCGCTTTGTTGGTTCAAGGCTCCCTTAGTGGGATGTTTAGGGTTTAGGGTCTAAGGTTTAGGGTTTAGGGTAGGGATGTTCCCCCTTATGCAAGCAGTTCTTAATAGTGATTACAGTAGGGGGTGGAACTTCCCAATTCCCTTATCCCCCCCCCCCCCCCAATAGGCTACCCGTGGTACAGCATGGCTACTGGGCTGCCCAGGCTAGCAGAGCTCGGGGCGAGTGATGAGTCGATCTTCACGAACGCCGGAGTGATCCTTGGGGAATCACGGAATGGTATGGGGAGATCATTGGGATTAGCGTAAGGGTCACGGGCTCGATGGAGAATTAGATGATGCAGCGGTCATAGGCGTGCAGTAGCATGCTACACCCCATGGCTTGCTTCTCATGTTAGACGAACGAAGCTAAACAACTCCAAAGGATTTTTGGTGTAGGGTTTAGGGTTCAGGCGTGCCAAGAATAACTTCATTTCATGCACGCGGTAATCATTCTTTGTTTGTTTTATACTTCGTTCATTTGTTCATTAACTTCGTGGTACAAGTTAACTCACTGTATTCACTACGTAGTTATAGTATTATAAGCATGTCCCGGGCACACATTATTTTATAGACGCCCGGGGGAATAAGAGAATTCGAAGAACGAAGTGATGACATGGGAACTAACTTCTGCGCCTTTAAAGAGAATTATTGTTGGGTCCATGGGCGTAAAGGGATCGTGACTGCGGAATCTATGTGGAGTCTATACAAGGACCCGGAGTCCCCTTTCTTAGGGTTTAGGTTCCCTTATAAGCCCCTGTAAACCAAAAGGGGCACCCCTCTTTTTCTAGCGTATGGCATCACTGTTGTGGCCCTGGTAGTACACCCTAAACCCTAAACTCAGGGCCTAGGCCGCCCCCCTACGATGGGGCGCGGCGCTTAAGCCCTTCGACATCGATGGCGAAAGCCGACCCAGGTCGCTCGCCCGCCTCCCACAGCCCGGTACCGGAACATCTGTGGCTGCCTTTTTTGGGGGGTGTACCCCCAAGGCCCCTAGGCCAGGAGGACCCGGACCCCTCGCCGCAGCGTGTTCAGGGACCAGTGGGCTTCGGGCCAGTTCAGGCAGGGCGGGTGCTAACTCACCTTTTTTGGTTGTCCCGCCCCTGCCTGACTCGCCTGGCCCTTGCCCCCTGCCATGGATTGCCCCCCCCCCCCCCTGAACGGAATGACCTTCCACAATCGGGCCAAAGCTGCTCTTCGCGCTCCTTCACAGCATCTATGCCCTATCACAGCAAACCCTAAACCCTAAACCCTCATCCCTAAACCCTCAACCCTAAACCTCATCCCTAAACCCAAAACCCAAAACCCAAAACCCTAAACCCTAAACCCTAAACCCTAAACCCTAAACCCTAAACCCTAAACCCTAAACCCTAAACCCTAAACCCCAAACAAAAGGAACTGGGAGGACCTCCACACGGCAAAACAGGCGGATCTTAAGCGGCCACTCTGGCGGAGAAGCCGCGAAGACGCGGCAAGTTGCATGGCCCGGGCGCTTTTTGACGCGCCGAGCTTGGAGCCCTTGGTGCGTGTTTCAGGACTCCCTTCTTGGGGGGGTTTAGGGTTTAGGGTTTAGGGTTTAGGGCTTGGGGTTTAGGGTTGAGGGTTGAGGGTTTAGGGCTTGGGGTTTAGGGTTCCTGGCCTTGTTTGGTTCAGGGCTTCCCTTTTTAGGAAGGTAAGCAACCCCAAACAAGGGGGCACCCTTCTTGTAAGAAAGGCGACTCTCGGCTACCAAGGAGCTGCTGGGGGCTCTTAAGCCGCCGTTGGCACACATGTCCAGCTCGGACGTCCTCGTTGGCCTCCACCTGCGCTTCGGTGACAGCGTGCTGCTGAAGCACATGCACTACAACGGGTCCTGGGATCATGCCAGCGACAAGCGCCTAGATGACGATGCCATGGATAAAGTGTGGAAGACTTTGGATAAATTGATCGCACGGCTGGAAGACGGCTCAGAAGCCCGTGCGCGCTGGGGGCTCAGGGCCCTGTAGTCCGGCGTCCTTTCAAGCGCGTCCCGAGAACTGGGTGCTAGAAGACTTGAGACCGGGTACCTTCCTTGCGTCTTGTGCAAGTCGAATGTCTTCTGGGCCCTACATCCCAAACCCTAAGAACCCTGAAAACCCCCAAACTGATTCTCAGTAGGAGGGTTGATGGTCTTCGGCTGTTTTTTTTTTTAATTTGCCCTCTCTGGAGGTCTCTATATTGGGATGTTCCCGCTTCTACTAGCAGTCCTTAATAGGGATGATAATGGAGGGGGGGGGGGGGTACTGCAATCCCTATTAAGGACTGCTAGTATAAGGGGGGGCATCCCGAGGCCTCTACATTGCCACAGACAACCCGCCCATCCTGGATGTGGCGAGGGCTCGGTATGGGGATCGCTTGATACCGGAGATTCCGTCGGCATCGATCTTCCATTCCTACTTGCCCCAACCCAGACACTTAGGGATTTTTAGGAACTTGTTTTTGTTTTTTGCTTCTTGTCTACTACAACTCCTAAGAAACCGCTAAAAGTTGACATTTTTGCTATAGGGTTCCAAAGATCCGTCTAGGACAAGAGCCTGCCCATTCGCAGTATCGCCAATCCTTCGTGAAGATGGTGGCCGAGTGGTTCCTGCTGGCCCTGAGCGACGTGCTCGTGCAGCCCATGGGCAGCAGCTACAGCGACACGGCCATGGTCCCTTAGTAGCTGAGTGAGCACACGTGTGCACTTTTTTGGGATGCAATAATCCCCTGTAGAACTGAAAGGTGCACACCTTTTTTTGGGGGCTTATGAACTCAGCAACGAAGGTCCTCTCCATGCAGCACCTCACCGTCCTGAAGAAGGGGAGGATGGCCATTGCGGACGATGGACTTCAGAGGGTGCTGGAGAGCCTAGCGTTGCAGCAGCTTTTCGTACCTGCGACACCGGCGGTGCCATCTTCCGAATGGCCCAAGTCAGCTGAAGTTGGGAGGATGGCGCATCTGGAGAGCTTCGGGTTCTACGATGAGCCCGACTCGCGCTGGATGCTCCGCAAGCTCATCAACATCCACCAGGCAGCCCTGGAGCAGACTTGCAAGGACGACTGCTCCATACCTGGCTTTCTGCCTTGCGATGGGACGAAGTGGTGGCAGTTACACTTCGAGCCTACATTCAGCTGCCCATTCGAGAGGCGCATCGGCCCATCTGGCATCCACGGCAAGTGGGTGTGTGACCCCCATCGCGTTGATGAGATGGCAAGAGACAGCGGGTGCCTGGTGTACTCCTTCCGGGGGACCGACAGGTTCTACTTCGAGAAGGCAGTGCGCAACGCTGTGTCAAAGCGCTGTGAGATCCACGTCTTCAGCCCGAAGCCGTGGCGATCTCACGGGGGCTACAAGGCTCCCCCGCCGTATCTCGATCCCCTCAGTTCAAGATGATTTCTTGTCACCAGTTTTGGGGGGTTCCGATGCATAGAGGTCTTTGCGAAGGTAACTTAAGGTTTAGGGTTCAGGGTTTAGGCTTTAGGCTTTAGGGTGTAGGGGCTCAAGCATTGCGCCGATTGGGTGCTTAGATGCTTTGGGGCTACCTCGGCTCCCTCCCACCTAGTACTGGTCGGGGTTGGGGCTTAGGGTTTAGAGTGTAGGGGTATCCCTAAAGCTAGGACAACACTCGCCTAGAGTTTGCTATTTCACCGGACAGCACTAGCATTCCCGATGCACCTTGGCTATACAGACACGGAACCTGGATCACAAAAGACTCTCCGAGTCCCTACATGGGGGTTTACGTTATTAGCGGGACCTCACTGGGGTGTTAATTGTACGGGGATCCTACTATTTGGGGATCTATATTGGGGGTCCCCCTATTTTCGCAAAACCCCCGCAAGACCCATACACATTGCCTGCAACCCTCAACCAACCTCCAAGCCCAAAACCCTAAACCCTAAACCCTAAACCCGAGAGACCCAAAACAGTGGGGTGTCCTCAAGGTATGTTCACTTCCACGTGCGCGAGATTGGCTCGCGGCCTCCAGCAGTGTCCCTGGAGGTGCTCAGCATGCCGATCTTTTTGCGGCTTAGGGTTCCCTAAACCCTAAACCCTAAACCCTAAACCCTAAACCCTAAACCCTAAACCCTAAACCCTAAACCCTAAACCCTAAACCCTAAACCCTAAACCCTAAACCCTAAACCCCTAAACCCTAAACCCTAAACCCTAAACCCTAAACCCTAAACCCTAAACCCTAAACCCTAAACCCTAAACCCTAAATTCTAAACCCTAAACCCTAAACCCTAAACCCTAAACCCTAATGATTGCAGATAAAGTTCATAGTGCCTGTAGGACTGGTGGCCATATAAATTACTGCAACTCAGGATGACCTCCCAACCAAAGCTAAGCATGGCTTAGTCAAAGGTTTAGGGTTTAGGGTTTAGGGTTTAGGGTTTAGGGTTCAGGGGATTCTCTAGGCAGGTTCAACGGTCAGTTTTGATGACCTGCAATTTCTGCTCTCGAAGGGCTCCAAAACCGTGCCACACACTGCTATTCCAAATACCCTCATTCAGCACACTCGGTAGAATGATGGGTCGATCCCCTTTTCAAGAGTCCTTCTAACAAGGAAAAATCATTTTCGTTGCCGCGGTTTTCCTCAGTAGCCTGACTACAGCCGCCATCGTCCTTGTGCAGTGCCACGAGACTAGATGATAGAAGACAAGGCCGAACGACAGTGAAGGAGGGGGCAGCTAGCAACAACGAGCCAAGAATGAAGAATGCAAGCAATGCAAGCCGCAGAGCAACGGATGATAGACGTCATGGTAGAGGTAGGGGCTCTTGGCTTCCATATAGTAGGAACTTCCCTAGCTTTGGTCAAAGGGTAGTTTCATGGGCCCTGAATGTGGCCTTTTCCCTCCCTGTCAGGGATCTGAATTATGGGCCCTTGTGCTTTGTAGGGGAGCAAAAGGGGGTACACAAGGGGGCTCCCCGTTCAAGGGCCCATACTGAGGGACCAGGTACCTACCCTTAGATTTGCTACTATGTGCTTAAGAACTGATTACCCTTATAAGGAAATATGTTTTTTTTTTTTTTTTTTTGGGGGGGGGGTTTTTTTGCAACTCGTAGATTGTTGGGGAAATGCCAGGCCCTGATGGCCGAGCTTGGCCACTCTGGCCGCCACATTGACATCCTCAACATCGACTGCCAAGGCCGCGCCTGCCGAGATGGTCGACTTAGGGTTTAGGGTTTAGGGTTTAGGATTTAGGGTTTAGGGTTTAGGGTAGCTTAACAACAGATCCCACAGTCGTTCCTAAATTGTTCCTAAACTGCTTCGAAAGGAATGTTTCCTGAATTGGTTCAAAAGGAAGAGGGTTCCTACATTGTTTCAGAAGGAAGGTCCTCATTAGTCGCAGGATTCTAAGTAAGTCTTGAGTCTTGTATTGATGATTTACAGTTCGAGTCCCTGAAATGCTCTTGTTGGAATTTGAGCTTTTTCAGGTTTGCTGCTTGAGTTGAGGGTTCCTCCGAAGACTCCACAGACATAGAAAGCTGTGAGACGGGTTGCAGCCACAAGTATGTTTATCAACCACGAACTTGAGCCGGGCGACAGACATTACTACAAGGATGAGGATAACAAGGAAAGATGCAGTCAATGGTCCTAAAGAAAGCCCCAAGCTCGAACAACTAGGTTGTTGCCCCATCTTTTTTCAGCCGGGTGGTGTGGTGCTGTCGAGGTTTTGCGGAGTTTCGGGGTTGCGGACTTGAGAAGCGCTTGTTCAGACCACGGGACGGAGGCAGAAACCTCTGCGGGCTTTGCATGTGGGATGGACGCCCAGCATCTCATGCCGTAGAATTCACAGAAGAGCACAGCTGCTGTAAATGCCGTCTTTTGGGCATGCTGACAAAAGGCATGAACGCGCGTGACAGGGAGTCTTGTTCCAGTAGCGTAGCGTCAAGCATCCTTGCGCAGTATGTTGCGCAAAGACCCAAAAGCGCCACAAAATACCGGTGATTTGGCATGGTCGCCTCATGAATGGTCGAGTCCTATGATTCCTATTACTCCTATTGTTCTGTTGTGTTTGTGTTCCTGTTTCACCGTTTTTCCTCGTATTGATTGTAAGACGAATGTTTTTCTTCATTTTTACTCTTTTTTACACGTAACCTTCTCCTTCTTATGTTCCTACTACTATTGTTAGCACGATGAACGCTATGTTAACTATTGCTGCTAGCATTACCACTCTTGCAATTGCTATATCCTCTTAAGGGGGAATCTTGGGCTCCTGGACATGCATGTTTACGCCAGGGTGCGAGTGGCAGCAGTATCCGGGCTGGTTCCATTCCACCGTCTTCGTGCGGCAGATACTGCTGAGAATGACTTGGCCCGCGGATGACTTGGACCACCCCACTGACAAAGGGGCAATAAAGAGGCGTCAGCGACAATTCTTGCAGACTCCCAAAGATCCGCCCCCGGCAATCCCTGCACTGCATCGGCTTTTTGCGCTGAATGGCTATGTGGTGACGCACAAGGAGTTTGACACAGCAGCATGCCATGGGAATTGCGTGGACATGTCGTTCTTGAAGCTGGATCTTGCTTTCCAAAGCCTGGACACCCTGACACCAAGCTCGCCATTTTATGAGCTACAGGCGCTGGAAAGCAGCTGGAAGACTACAAACAAAGCAGGGTGCTGGGATTCTCATCCAGGACTTGGGCCACTCAGCGTCTCGCAGCTGAAGAGCTATCTGCTGGGTGAGGGAGGCGCAACGATGTTTCAGGGCTGGGATTTGAAAGGCAAGGGCTCCGGCCTGTCTTTGCAAGAGAGCCTTGGGTACATCGACGAAGACGACGCCAGCTGGAAGAGGCCCTAGTAGCCCAGCGGTACCCCCTCCTCCCTTTTTTGGGTTCAAGGCTCCCTTATAAATAAACCCTAAACCCTAAACCCTAAACCCTAAACCCTAAACCCTAAACCCTAAACCCTAAACCCTAAACCCTAAACCCTAAACCCTAAACCCTCTTGTTGCAACATGGCTACGGGGGCTACGATAAGAGGCGGAAGCAGATCCACAAGGACGCCCTGGATGCGCAGCTTCAGAAGGCGCACCTCAGCACACTCGAGTCGCTGGGTCCCCTGGAGCTCCTCTGAGGTTACCGACCAGTAGAGGAGTTCTTCTCTGGTTTCTTGTGGTGTCATGAGGTTACCGACCAGTAGAGGAGTTCTCCTCTGGTTTCTTGTGGTTCCATGAGGTCACCGACAAGTAGAGGAGTTCTCCTCTGGTTTCTTGTGGTGTCCATGTGAGGACTAAATCTTAAACGTTTAAGAAAGGTTGCTGAAATTTATTTTTTTGGGGGCCCCGGATGCCAGAAGCCTCAGGATCTGGTACTACAACTACGACCCCAGCTTCAGCTGCGACTTCCTGCGGCGGCTGGGGCGCTTTGGGGACGGCGGCAAGTGGGTCTGCGACCCCCACCGCCTCACGATGCGCGCCGAGGAGGGCGGCTGCCTGGTCTACTCCATCGGAAGCGTGGGGGACAGCTCCTTCGAAGCCTCGGTCTACGAGTCGATCTCCCCGGCTTGCGAGATTCACACCTTTGACTTGAATCCCTGGAGCTACTACACCTCCAGGGAGATGCCCAAGTTCATGAACTACCATACGCAGAGGATCGGCAAGGAGCCCCCTTCCAAGACCATCCCGGAGATAGTGAAGGACCTGGGCCACACGGATCGCACCATCGACCTCTTCAAGATCGACTGTGAAGGTGTGGGTAACTGGGAGGGGTTGGAAGAATTACTAGTAGTCTTCCCTTATGGCCCCTACAGAGATATGCTAGTACCACCGCCCCCCCCCCAAAGCCCCATTCCCATTGTCTCCCCTACAAACACTACATTACAACACCACCCTAAACCCTAGGCCCTCAACCCTAAACCCTAGCGGCGTGTTTTGGGTGCGACTGTTGGGTGCCAACTTTCTTCCTTTGACTCCTCACTTCTCCGGTGGGGCTCCTGGCTGCGCAATAAACCCTAAACTCCTGGCCGCGGAATAAACCCTAAAGCCCAAACCCTTTTTAGGTCTCGGCTCCTCTGGATTCCCTGTACTTGAAGGTTGTGAGTGGGAGACTTTCGACAGCTGGCTAGGTGCTGGCGTGAACATTCGTATCTAGGCGTTTCCGAACATTTTTCCTTTTGTCTGTTGCTACTGGACGAGGGGCTGTAGTGGAATTCGGGTGGACATAGGGTTCCTGAAAGCTTGAAGCAAGCAGAACCTTCTTGTGTCCGGGCTCATGCGCAGATAGCAGGGATCACCTAAGAATCTAAGCCCTAAACCCTAAACCCTAAACCCTAAAGCCTAAACCTTAGACCCTATACAGACTGTGCTGGATTGGGATTCGGCCCATTTCGCCCTGGAGGCCTTGTAGTCCTATGAAGATCTCAAGAAGAGCTGAGGTATGTTCTTGGTTGAGATCCACTATCCGAAGAAGCAGGAGCAACTGCTAGGATCACTTTGAGGGCCAGCAACTCGTACACCCTAAGCCCTGAACCCTCCGCCTTAAACCCCAAACGCATGTTTACTTCTTATTTGTTTACGTTTCTCCTTTCTTGGGGAGCGGCGGGGGGGGGAGGGCATTTTCAGTGTCAGAGGAGCAACTCCATGACTTCTTCGACACCCTCCAATCTCACGGCTACGCGATCTATCGCAAGGAGCCAAACACACTCGGGAGTTGCCTTGGCTGGATTCAGTTAGATGAGATCCTGTAAGATGTTCCCCCCTTATACCAAGGGTCCTTTTTCAGGACTCTAGTACTCCCCATATCACCATTAAGAACTGTTAGCATAAGGGGGAACATCTCAAAGGATCCTACAAGACACCGACATAGGCTCTGTGGGGTCGAGATGGGTTGTGTCTTCACTTGGCCAGCTGTCAGGTGGGAAACTGTAAACTTGAAACCCTCCAAAATCCCCTAAACCCAAAACCCTGGACCCTAAACCCCAAAAACTCGATGTCCACGAGTTGGATCCAGCAGTACCAAGTGATATAGAATAAGCAAGATTTTGCTCTACGAAATATGACATGTGGGGACAGGAATACACCGACATGTAACGAAGCTTATAGAGTTCCACCAAAGAGGTCAGTGTCTTTTGCAATCCTTAACCGTCTCTTCTTTTCTGAGTTTGGGGTTTAGGGTTTAGGGTTTCGTGTTTGGAGCAAGGGTTGATGCAACCCATAGGCAATCAGTCAATCAATCTTTTGGAGTGCGTTCATGTTTTTGGGGTCCCATCAAAGGGTAAAGGCATCCCTGGCGAGACCGAAGCCCGCAGAGTACCCCAAACAGCTGGGAAGCACGATGCCAACACCCTAAACCCTAAACCCTAAACCCTAAACCCTAAACCCTAAACCCTAAACCCTAAACCCTGAACCCTGAACCCTGAACCCTGAACCCTGAACCCTGAACCCTGAACCCTGAACCCTGAACCCTGAACCCTGAACCCTGAACCCTGAACCCTGAACCCTGAACCTAAACCCTAAACCCTAAACCCTTCAAGAACACTGTTGTGGAGGCAGATGCCCAGAAATGGCATTTCCCTGAAACCTGTGACTCGTCTCGGCTGAGGTCAAGGAGGTTACCAAGAGTACGGATTCATCAAGCTTGGCTTGGATTTCTGAGGAAAAAGGCTTTAGGGTTTAGGGTTTGGATTCCGGGGCTGGAAGGGTTTGATTCGGGTTTTGAGACGAAGGAGCTTGCGGGGAAAGGATGGTGGGGATTATACTGATCATGCCTTGGGATGTTCCCCTCCTGAATAGGGATTTATAGTAACCCCCCCCCCTATTCGAATCCCTTCTAAGGACTGTTAGTATAAGGGGAGCATCCCAAATTATACCGGGTATGTAGGCATGCTGGTTGGAACCTATTGCGGGGATACGATGAGGACGAGGAGTAGAAACTCGTTTTGAAAGCCAAGCCTTCCAACTTCATACTCTAAACCCTAAACCCTAAACAACCCTAAGCCCTACTTCAAACCCTAAACCCTAAACCCTAAGCCCTAAGCCCTACACCCTAAACCCTAAACCCTATCTTCATACGGTCACATGTTGTGGTCGTGGTCACCAAGTTCTCCCAACAGTTTTGGGGCTGTTGGTGGGTTGAGCCGCCGCAGCCACACAACACCACCCAACAGTCTATTGCATCCACCCTAAACCCTAAACCCTAAACCCTAAACCCTAAACCCTAAACCCTAAACCCTAAACCCTAAACCCTAACCCCTAAGCCCGTGGCTTTCATTGAATCCGAGCCACACTCCCAAGGGGCAAGGTCTGAAGCATCGGGGGCCGTGGGGTTTACGGGGTTTAGGGTTTAGGGTTTAGGGTTTAGGGTTTAGGGCTTAGGGTTTAGGGTTAGTGAACCAAGGTTCGTGCTGATCACACAAGCGAATCGTTTCATGATTTCATGGACATTCTGTGCGCCGTCATGATAATGATAACAAGAATGCAACCTTGAGCCCTAATCCCCAAACCCTAAACCCTCTGCCCTAAACCTAAACTTAACACCCTATCATGGTGATGGTACCTGGCTCTCCGCTGTTGGGTCTAAAATCCCAACATCAGTACAGAGAAAGTCGTACTGGGGAAGGGCTTGAGTTTCGGGTTTAGGGTTCAGGGTTCAGGGTTTAGGGCGTAGGGTGTAGGGTTTCGGGTTGAGGGTGTAGGGTTTAGGGTTCAGGGTTTGGTTGGTTCCCATATGAGCCTGAGGATACAAGAGAGAAGTGATATCTCGATTGGCGCCAGTTCCCTCGGTCCCGGTTAGTGTGAAGTCGGTGTGATATACCTTCACTAGCCGGTTGCCCAGGTCCGTATTTAATCATGCGGGTTAGAAAGGATTCCTTGGCGCAGGTGAATTGACCCTTCCCGTGGTTTTGACAGGTCTTGGTCTCGTGGGCATGGTGCAAAATTGCGTTCGGCCTTTGTGCAAGGATCTGTTTCTGAAGTCCTTGTCTTCATCACCTTTCCGTTTCGAGTTTCCGTATGATACAACCAAGTCCCGCAGGTCTGAGAAAATCGTGATGCAGCTGTCCCTAAACCCTAAACCCTAAACCCTAAACCCTAAACCCTAAACCCAACTTGTAATCAGGACCCCAAGAAGGTATCCCCTAATATCGTAAACCCCCATTCGGTTAGGTTCTGTTCTGCAGCCTTGAACTGTTGACCTAAGGAGTCAAGGGGGTTTGGCCTGCATCCCTGTGGCGCAGGCTGCTTGCAGGCTTAAGCACTCCCTCAACCCTGAACCCTGAACCCTGAACCCTGAACCCTAAACCCTAAACCCTAAACCCTAAACCCTAAACCCTGAACCCTGAACCCTAAACCCTAAACCCTAAACCCTAAACACCAAGAATCAGAAGCCGGCCAAACCGGAGCTTGAGCCTCAGAGTTTAGAGCCCAGCCTCCGAGCGGTCTGGAGTTTAGCCTGAATCAGGGTTTTAGGGTTTAGGGTTTAGGGTTTAGGGTCTAGTGTTCGGAGGTTGATTGGGGATTACCATTCCGCATGCCTGCCGTGCCGGAGCAATGGCGCCCTGGAAGGTTCGTAGCTGGCTATATGCTTGGCTCGGTCATTAGCTCTGCATGGTTTTCCCTGCAGCCAACTTTCATGATGGCTTCAAAGCAAGCAGACTGGGCGATAAGTTCGCAGCATCCGAATCTCGCGACAGTCGAAGAGCAGCCAAGTCCGGCGATGGGCCAGAGGCAAGTTCCGAATGTCACGGCTGCGCGCGCGCAGCTCCTGAAGCCATCGGCTTTGCCTGTCATCTACGGCCATGTTCACCTGGCTGAGACAGGAGGTTCCTATGTGAACAGGGCATTGGCGTTGAAATACGAGAGGGTCTGTGGTGTGTCTGGATATTCATACGATGCCTTCCGCACAAACTTGAAGTTTGAGAAGAACAGTTTGCATGTTGACACCATCGGGCGATCATTCCCAAATCACAGCAGGTGGATGGTTCCAGACCGAATTCAGGAAGAGATTGGCTATGAGGATTGTGAGTACCTGTCCATGGACGTCCAGTGGCAGTGGTGGAAGAGGTTCACATCCTGGCAAGTCCGAGTGGAGTTGCACGTGCCTTGCCGTGAGCCCGTTGATCACCTGCTGTCACAGTGCAACCGGGTAGGCCCTTGGGAAATTTTTATATTTGCTTTTATTGGGTTTGAGAGGATCATATTTAGGAAAATTTTTGAAAGGGTTTTAAGGCAAATTTTAAGGGCCATCCTAGGCAACTACAAATCACGGAAATTCAACTGCAAGGGGGATTTGGAGGAGGAGATTCGAAAGTGCTTGAACGGCACAATCGATCGCTTCGACCATGCCCTGGTGCAATCACAGCTCTTCCCCAATTTCAACACAAGGTGCTTTAACGCTTCTCTGTCAAAAGAGTATGTGGAGTACATGGGGAAGAAGCTGCAGCCGAGGAGATTCCAGGCCGACATTGCGTATCAGCCTTTGAAAGACAGCAAGACAGAGTGCTTGCTAAGCAACGAGACGGCTCGGCAGTTGGTTGAAGAACAGGTGGCAAAGCTCGACTACTTCAAGTTTTGCGAGGGGTGTTTCTGAGTCCTCTAAAAAAAGCTTTTCGTTTACCATTCTTGACAGGGCACACGAAGCAGTGAGCACGCAAATCATGCAAAGCTGAAATTTTTCCTCATTCATGACCCAGGTTTGAACTCAGAGCAGAACTTGATCCCCGTCACGCTCCCCGTGATCTACGGCCACGTCCACATGGCCAAGACTGGCGGATCCTTCGTGAACGGGGCGTTGGCCCTGAACTACGAAAGGGTCTGTGGTGAAAAAGGCTACTCATACGATGCCTTCCAGGCCAACTGGCGCTACAGGAACAACAAGTCTCACGTTGACACCATGGGCGAAGTTGAAATTGGTTACAGCAGACAGAGGGTTCCAGCCACTTGGTAGCCCAGTGGTGCCCTTCTCCTTTTTTTTTTTTTTTTGGGGGGGGGGGTGTTCAAGGTTCCCTTATCAATTAAACAGACCACAAAAAGGTGCCCTTGTTACTTTAAGGGGCTGCGCCCAGGGGCGGGCAACGCCCCGAGGAGGCAGAGGCATGCAAAAGTGTGGGCGCGCCGCGTCGCGCGCGCACGCGCCGGCAAGGCCAACACAAGACTTTGAGGCGGTGGGTGGCGGTTGTCCGGGGGGTTGGGGTGGGGAAGGGGGGGGTGTAGGGGGGCGGGTGGGGGTGGGAGGTGGGGGGAGGGGGGAGGGGGTAGGGGGGTTAGGGGAGGGGGGGTGCCTTGGACGCTTAACGTCTATTCTGCGCGTGCTCTTTGTTTTCTTGGACTCTTCCCGTAAACCTCTCTGGGATGGGTTCTCGTTTGGCACTCCAACGCGGAAGGCGTTCTATCGGATCGCTTTCTGGCGAAAGAGGCAAAGAAGAGGAGACGGTCAACGGAGGAGGGTTGGACAGGGTCGGACGGAATGAATTTTTACGAAGGCCACAGAGACGACACGGTCAAGGGAGTGGGGTCGGCATATTTTGCTGGGAGAGGGGCGTGGACTAGGGGCGTGGCATGGGGAAGTGTGGACAATGCATGCATGGATGTCAGGTTGACGGACGGAGGGGGGAGCGCGGACGTGACATTCGGTTGATGGGCAGGGGAGTGGCGGACACGCGGACAAGACAAGGGGTTCAGCGCGCGATGTATCCGGTTGATGGGGTAGTCACCATCCGCGCCCTCGAACGCCCTCCGCGCCCTCCGCGCCCTCCGTGCCCTCCTCGCCCTCCTCGCCCTCCTCGCCCTCTTCGCCCTCTGCGCCCTCTCCGCGCCCTCCACGCGCTCCGAGCACTCGCGCGCTCTGCGTGCTCCGCACCCTCCGCGCCCTCCGCACCCACCGCCCTCCGCGCCCTCCGCGGCCTTTTTGTAAAGTATTTGTTTACAAGGCACGCGCATGCAGCATAGCCTTTAAGTGTCCATCTTACGGGGGGGGGGGTTGTGTGGGGGGGACAAGAGGGGTGGCGTGATGGCGCACGGGGGGCGGGTGCAGTGCGGGTGGTGAGGGCGGCAGCGGAGGCATGGGGGCACTAAGGGCATGGACGTGGTGATGGCAGTGGGTCTTCACTGACTCCGCCCCCGCCTGGGGTCAGCGGATAATATGGTTACTGGGGTACCGAGGCCATCATTCAGGAGGAGATCGGCCATGAGGACTGCGATTATGTGTCGTTGGAAGGCCAGTGGCAGTGGTGGAAGAAGTTCACATCCTGGAAAGTCCGAGTGGAGTTGCACGTGCCTTGCCGTGAGCCCGTTGATCACCTGCTGTCACAGTGCAACCGGGTACGTCCTTGGGAAATTCTATATTTGCTTTTGTTGGGTTTGAGAGGATCATATTTAGGAATATTTTTGAAAGGGTTTTCAGGGCCATCCTAGGCAACTACAAATCACGGATTTTCAACTGCAACGGGAATTTGGAGGAGGAGATTCGAAATTGCTTGACCGGCCTAAGCGTCCGCTTTAACAAAGCCCTGGTGCAATCTCAGCTCTTCCCGAATTTCAACGCAAGGTGCTTTAACACTTCTCGGTCAAAAGAGTATCTTGGTAGCCCAGTGGTACCCTTTACCCTTTTTTTGTGGCTATTGGTTCCCTTACGAAATAACCAACCCCCAAAAAAGGGTGCCCTTATCATAACATGGTTACTGGGCTACCAAGGTATGTGGAGTACATGGGGCAGAGGCTGCAGCCGAAGAGGTTCCAATCCAAGTATGCATATCGGCCTACAAACAAGCCCAGGAAGAAGCGCAGGGAGTGCTTACTCAGCAACACAACAGCCAGACTGCTGGTTGAAGCACAGCTTGCAAAAATCGACTACTACGATTTCTGCAGTGGTTGCTTCTAGGTCCGTCTTGAGCCCAGCAAAGTTTTGGTTTGTGCGGCCCACCCCGCCCCCCCTCCCTCCGCTCCCACCCTCCACCCCTACCACCCACCCAAACAAAACCCAACTTGCCTACATGAAGTCGATGCGGGCAACATACTATCCCACAACAACGATCCAGGCTTGCGCTCAAAGCAGAACCTGCTCCTCTCCGTGTAAAGAGCGGCTCTTGGGGCGTACTGTGGCATGTGCCAAAACAAGGCGCCTGTTTTTCGGCATGAGGGGTTCGGGGCCTTTAGGGGCCTTTAGGGTCTGTGCACGTTTCAGTCTCACAATGCCAATACAAGCTGTTAAGGGGTCCAAATCAACGAATCAGTAGTGAACACTTGCAGAAGCGTCGTTGGCAAGCGTTGCGCTGCCTTCTTTGCACTGGCTGAGTTTCGATGATTGGCATTTGCAGGTTCGCTACATAACCGCTGCCCTGAATGCAGCTCTAAGCATAATAATAATAATACGAGTAATAATAATAATGATCATGATAATGATAATGATCATAGTGATAAGATTACTACTAATCATCAAAATCACAATCATAATCATGTGAATAGTGATAAATGCAGAAGAGCTCGCTCCCAGCCTCTCTTTCAGCTCCCCACCCCCCCCCCCCCCCCCTCCCGGTTTATTTTTAAGCCTCCTATATTGGCAGAATTGCAGAATGCTGCATGACTGGCTGCACGACTGATGCCGGGAGCTGGACAAGTCCTCAATGACTCAAGTGCTCAGTGTCACCCGGTCCCAGCGAAATCTTGCACACCCCAAAACCCCAAACCCAAAAACCCGCAAAGCCTCGACCCCTTAACCCCGCAAAGCCTCGAAAACCCCCCAAAGAAATCACCCTAAACCCTAACTAAACCCCAAACCCCAAACCCCAAACCCCAAACCCCAAACCCCAAACCCCAAACCCCAAACCCCAAACCCCAAACCCTAAACCCCAAACCCCAAACCCCAAACCCCAAACCCCAAACCCCAACCCCCAAACCCCAAACCCCAAACCCTAAACCCTAAACCCTAAACCCTAAACCCTAAACCCTAAACCCTAAACCCTAAACCCTAAACCCTAAACCCTAAACCCTAAACCCTAAACCCCAAAGAAAACGGGGCTTTTGGATCCTTCCAAGAGCCACCTTGCGGGCTTTCGGCCGCCATGGGCCAAGGCGGCTCGAAGAGTGGGCAGGAGACACGTGTAGGGTTTAGGGTTTAGGGTTTAGGGTTTAGGGTTTAGGGTTTAGGGTTTAGGGTTTAGGGTTTAGGGTTTAGGGTTTAGGGTTTTGGGTGTAGGGTGTAGGGTGTAGGGTGTAGGGTTTAGGGTTTAGGACTTTGGGTTTTGGGTTTAGGGTGTAGGGTGTAGGGTGTAGGGTTTAGGGTTTAGGACTTTGGGTTTTGGGTTTAGGGTTTGGGGTCGTCGAATCCATGGCCTCTTTGAAGTCCTTAACCTCCCTTTGAACATAGGGGCAATGCATTAGTTTGTATTCTTGCACGTAGCAAAAATACATAGATACACAAGTGAATATCAGCATTAGCATGCACACACATCCACGAATTGTCCGTCTCAGCCTCATTATCGTCGTCGCCAGCAGTCAGCATCATCATCATCATCATCATCATCATCATCATCATCATCATCATCATCATCATCATCGTCTACACTTTGACCACCATGACCACCATGGCCACCATGACCACATTGACCACTGGCCACCATCACCAGCATCATCATCACCCACCATCATCTTCATCAGCGTGATTGTTATGATCATGACTATAGGTTGGGGTTTAGAGCTTAAGATTTTGGGTTTGGGGGTTCAGGGTGTAGGGCTTTGCAGTTTGTTAACACCACATGTCTTCTGATGGAGGGGAGCGATTCCCTACATGGCTTGGGGCCTCGACCCTACAGCCCCCCCTAAGCCCTATGTGGGCTTGGGGGTTTCGGCCCTGCGCCATACAAATAGTTAGTAGACGTCATCCCTTCCATGGCCCCTAAGCCCTCTTCAACCCCTAAAAGGCTCGAGTCTTTTCAAAAATGGCCCCCTTGCAGGAGAGGCCTCAGCGGCTGGTTCCCACCACCACACAGGCCGAATTCCCCGAGTCCAAAAGCCAGGGCGTGTTTGGCGACGGCCTCTTTGGCTTTCAAGGTCGAACTGAATGCCCGAAACCCTAAACCCTAAACCCCAAAACCCCAAAACTTCAAAACCCCCCAAAACCCCCCAAAATCCCCAAACCCCCCAAAACCCCAAAACCCCCCAAAACCCCAAAACCCCCCAAAAACCCGGAACTGTCTGCAGCTTGCGGCAGCTCACCGGAGGTGAAGAAGGCCAACCTCGAGTCGAAGTGGTGGGCGCTTCAGGCCCAGTACCCCCCTCGGAATGCCTTGGAGTCTGGGGTTTAGGGTTTAGGGTTTAGGGTTTAAGGTTTAGGGTTTAGGGGGGCTCTGCGGTTCAGAGCTTGAGCGCGCATTTCTCATCCTCAGGGCACCCAACCCCCCAAGCCCGTTGCTTCGTTGAAACCTAAGACCCTGAAACCCTAAAACCCCAAAACGCTAAAACTCTCCTAAACCCTAAACCCTAAACCCTAATTGTAAACGCTTGCGCGCGCCGCCTCGGCAGCCGGGCCGGCCCCAGGACAGGAAAGGAGGAAAGAGGGTTTCGCAAAAAAAGGTGCGGGGGGGGGGGGGGGGGGGGGGGGGGGGTGGGGGGGGGGTGGGGGGGGGGGGGGGGGGGGGGGGGGGGGTGGGGGGGGGTGGGGGGAAGGGTTGAAGGCCAGACGCTTCTCGGCAGGAAGCCGAGGCGAATTCCTAAACCCCAAGCCCCAAACCCTACCCAAAACCCGAAACCCTGAGCCTCCGAACCCTTTTCCCGGGAGCAGGTCAGCGGGGCGGCATCGGCTCCTCTGTGCCTCCAGGGCTACGGTCGGCAGCCCCTCGGCGTGCCGGAGGAGTTGCTTGAGGGTTTAAGGATTAGGGGTTTGGGGTTTAGGGTTTAGGGTTTGGGGTTAGGGGTTTAGGCTTGAGGGTTTAGGGTTTGGGGCTGAGCGAGATTTAGGGTGTAGGAGAGAATTTGGGGATGCTTAGGGTTTAAGGGTTTAGGAGGTTTAGGATGTTGAGGGTTTCTAGGGTAATCCCGTTTAAGGGTTAGACGGTTAGACGTTTTAGTTGAGGGTTCCGGCCTCTTCGGAGCAACTTTTCGTCCAGCTCTATAGGCACTTAACCCTAAGTTCTTGAACAAGGGCTCAAATCATCCGACTCCATGATGAACATCATTAGGCTTTCAAGGCTTTAGGGTTTAGGGTCTAGGGTTCAGGGGTATATAGAAGCTGCCCAAATCCCCATTCTAACTACCTGGGGTCGAGGGTCTGGGGTTCAGAAACAAACCCTAAACCCTAAACCCTTGCGCGTCTCCGAGGTACGCGGCGCTGTTCGAAAGACACTGTGGGGATCACAGGAGGGAGCATCAGAGACCTGGCATAGCACGGTTCCTGGGCCCCCACAAGACCCTAACTACACGAACGCCTAAACACCCGAAGCCGAAGCCCCCAAACCCTCCAATCCCCAAACCCCCAAAACCACAAACCTCCAAACCCCTCAACCCCAAAGCCTTGGGACGTTCCCCCAATAGGGGGTACTAGAATCCCTATGAAGGACTGTTAGTATGAGGGGGAACATCCCAACCCTCAACCAACCTCCAAGCCCTAAACCCTTAGCCCTAAACCCTAAAACCTAAACCCCTAAACCCCCCTAAACCCTAAACCCTAAACCCCAAACCCCAAACCCTAAACCCTAAACCCCAAACCCGAGGAAGTGCATGAAGCACGGGAAGCTCGACCCCCTGGAGATGCAGAAGTGGTACCCGCTTTGTGGCGAGAGCTTCGAGTTGGAGAGCGCATGTGCTCTTGAGGCATATTCGGGTTATGTAGGGTTTAGGGTTTAGGGTTTAGGGTTTAGGGTTTAGGGTTTAGGGTTTAGGGTTTAGGGTTTAGGGTTTAGGGTTTAGGGTTTAGGGTTTAGGGCAGTTAGGTGTCGTGAGTGGGGTTTAGGGTTCAGGGCTATTGGGTGTTGCTATAGTTAGGATTCATAGGCGTTAGAGGTATTGAGGGTGGTTAGGCAACTCACATATTGTGGCTCTTGAACAAGCCCATCACCCTGTTTTGCAAGCGTCACATGGCCCTGAGCCGCAAACCCAGACAGAGCGGACATAAGCAAGCTTCATCCATCACCAACCTGGTTCCTTTGCACAAGTGGTCAGCAGGGTGGATTTAGGGTTTAGGATTTAGGGTTTAGGGTTTAGGGTTAGGGTTTAGGACGAACCTATGAAATTCTGCGCGACTCTGCCGTTACGCTCAGGGAGGCACAGGCATCATTGACCGAGCTAAGCCCGAAGCCCACACCCTGCAAACCCTACCGAAACCTAACAAGAACCCAAACAAACCCTAAACCCAAACAAACCACCCTAAACCCTAAACCCTAAACCCTAAACCCTAAACCCTAAACCCTAAACCCTAAACCCTAAACCCTAAACCCAAAACCCAAAACCCAAAACCCTAAACCCTAAACCCTAAACCCTAAACCCTAAACCCTAAACCCTGCTCATTTCACTGGTATTCTTGGGTCTCAGGTGCCAGCGCTCTGCTCAAGGCAGTGGATGCCCGCTGTCGGGCTCCCTTGGACCGTGCGGCCGGAACGCTGGCCGGCAGCAAGGGCCAGGATATTCCTGCCCTAAACCCTAAACCCTAAATACTCCCTAAACCCCAAACCCTAAGCCCTAAACTCTAAACCCTAAACCCTAAACCTTAAACCCTAAACCCTAAACCTTAAACCCCAAACCCATAATACTACCCTAAACCCTAAACCCTAAGCCCTAAACTCTAAACCCTAAACCCTAAACCTTAAACCCTAAACCCTAAACCCTAAACAGCCCCTAGGAACCCCCAAATAACCCCTAGCAACCCCTGGTTCTTTAGGATCCGTACTCCTTCTCATCCCCCAAGAACCCCGAAGAACACCTCGCTGTTTAGGGTCTCTACTCCCTCTGTCTCTCAGCACTAAACCCTAAACCCTAAACCCTAAACCCTTAACCCTAAACCCTAAACCCTATACCATGGGCCAGCGAACGAGCCTTCGTGCTCCGGCGCAGGACGACCCTCGGCTGCCCCAGCAACTCGAGGCAGCTTGAAGTTCGAGGAGTGTTAGGGGTTTAGGGTTTAGGGTTTAGGGTTAGGGGTTTAGGTTGGGATTTTCTCCTTTTCCTCACAGTCCTTAACAGGGCTTATAGTGCCGATTATAATCCTATTTTGCCCCTTATACTAACAGTCCCAGGGACTACAGTGCCGATTATAATCCTATTAAGGAAGGGGGAACATCCCAAGGTTTAGGGTGGAAGATTGAGGGGTTTAAGGCTTAGGGTTGAGGGCTTATTGTTGCGGGGTTTCGGGTGGAAGATTGAGAGGGTTCGGGTTTATAGTCTGAGGGTTTTTGAGCTTCGGGTCTGAACAGGATTCTGGGGTACAGGGTTTAGGCTTCTGGGACAACCTGAACATGCTAAACCTCAAGCCCTAAACCCTGAACCCTAAACCCTAAACCCTAAACCCTAAACCCTAAACCCTAAACCCTAAACCCTAAACCCTAAACCCTAAACCCTAAACCCTAGACCTTTTTTGAGGCGGTGGGCTCTTGCATCGCGCAGCTGGCAGGCGACAAGGCGCAGGGCCGAAACCTTTCCGGGCCCAGGGCTTGACGGGTTTAGGGTTTAGGGTTTAGGGTTTAGGGTTTAGGGTTTAGGATTAAGGTTTAGGGTTTCCTTGGGAGAGTTGCGTCTTCATTCTTGTTATTCACAATTCAAGGGATGTCTGAACATATTGTTATGGTCCCAGTATCGTGTTTATTTTATAGGGCTTAGGGCTTAGGGCTTCGGGACTTCTACCCCAAGCCCTTCAACAAATTGAAAAACGGCACATGGTCAGTTCTCTAAATTATCGTCCCTTTTAGGGTAACCTGAGTGAAAGGGGCCGCCTTGTGATGCTCCCCCGTATGCTAATAGGGTTCTAGTACCCCCCATTATAATCCACCAGCGTTTTGACCCTAAACCCTAACCCTGAACCCTGAACCCTGAACCCTGAACCCTGAACCCTAACTCCCATCCTGCCAGACCGAGTAAAGCAAAGTCCCCCACCTCCTTGAGCCTTCCACGGTCAAAAGCACAAGAATTCTGAACCTCACAAACCCGAATCCTAACCCTCAAATAAAACCCTAAACCCTGTACCCTGAACCCTAAACCCTAAACCATAAACCCTACACCCTAAACCCCAAACCCTAAACCATAAACCCTACACCCTAAACCCTAAACCCCATGAAGCCTAAAATCCTGAGCCATGCGACCCACCGCTTTTTTTCCACGCCAGGCTCTGAAGGTGTCGGTGGACACTGCAGAGGCTTGGGATCGAGTTAGGGTTTAGGGTTTAGGGTTTAGGGTTTTAGGGTTTAGGGTTGAGGGTTTAGGGTTTAGGGTTGAGGGTTTCGGGTTTAGGGTTTAGGGTTTAGGGTTTAGGGGGTACTGCCAGAAGGAGGAGGTCTCCTACACCAAAAAAGTACCGAAACATCTGCAACAGAGACCTTGCACCCTAAGCAGCACCAAACCTTCCCATCTAAACCCTAAACCTACACCCCTAAACCCTAAACCCTAAACCCTAAACCCTAAACCCCAAACCCTAAACCGCAGCATGCCAGGATGCCTAGTCTTCAGTCGTTGTTCATGGGCATCATTCGCATGTCCGATTGCATGCCTTCAGTCCACGCCCCCGAAGCCCGAAGGCCAGAGTGCGTACAAGACTTTCAACACGTTTGGGGTTTAGGGTTTTGGGGTTTAGGGGTTTAGGGTTTAGGGTTTTAGGGTTTAGGGTTTATAAGGTTTAGGGTTTCAGGGTTTAGGGTTTCGAGTCTCAGTGGAAGAGCCATGTCGCTTTGTGTCGACGTAGCGCTCTTGAGCGGCAAGTCGGTGCAGATTACGGTCAGCGGTGACTGTACCCTTGATGAGTTCCGGCTGAAGGTGCAGGCTGCTTTGCAAACTGGACGGGGCATGGTGGTCAATGCTGCCGGGGAAGTGCTATGTGGAGAAGCAACGCTGGAGCAATCGGGTGTTAAGACTGGAGATCTCCTGACGCTGCACGTGCGGCCGATATCCTTGGCTGCCTCAGGCGGCGCTTTCGCCGCGATCGTCGGTGATGCATCGGTTGTGACTTGGGGTGCGCCAATGTGCGGTGGGTACAGTAGCTCCGTCAAGGACCAGCTGAAGAATGTGCAACACGTTCAGGCGAGCGAGCGGGCTTTTGCGGCCATTGTCGGCGGTGGACGCGTCGTGGCTTGGGGCGATGAATTCGCCGGTGGTGACATCAGCTCCGTTCAGGAGCAGTTGGGGAACGTGTGGCGGATACAGGCTACTGCATCAGCATTTGCTGCTATCCTTGATGACAGGTCCGTGGTGACCTGGGGCGATGAGCGCTATGGGGGCGACAGCAGGTTTGTTCAGCAGCAGCTGCAAGATGTGCAGCAGATCCAGGCCACCAAAACCGCATTTGCCGCCATTCTCGCCGATGGATGTGTCGTGACGTGGGGCTGGCCAGACAATGGTGGTGACAGCCACCTCGTTCAAGGGCAGCTGAAGAAGGTGCAGTGTATACAGGCCAACGGCGCCGCATTCGCTGCTATCCTCGAGGATCGGTCCGTCGTGACCTGGGGTGCGCCGCGTGATGGGGGCGACAGCAGCTCGGTCAGGGAGCAGCTAAAGAATGTTGAGCAGATCCAAGGATCAGGTGGCGCGTTCGCTGCTATCCTTGGTGACGGCTCCGTCGTGGCTTGGGGCCGTGCCGAGGATGGTGGTGACTGTAGCTCTGTCCAGGATCAGCTGAAGAATGTGCAGCAGATGCAGGCTACAAGAGGGGCGTTTGCTGCTATACTCGTTGATGGATCAGTCGTGACTTGGGGCGATGGGCGCCACGGCGGCGACAGCAGCTCTGTGCAGGAGCAGCTCATGAACGTCCAGCAGATCCAGGCGACAAAACAGGCATTCGTTGCTATCCTTGGAGACAGATCCGTCGTGACTTGGGGTGACGCTGACCAGGGCGGTGAAAGCAGCTCCGTCAAAGATCAGCTCAAGAACCTAGGTTGGTTTTTCTGGATTGTTTTTTTAGTTTATAAGGGACCCTACACCCTACACCCTACACCCTACACCCTACACTCTACACCCTACACCCTACACCCTACACCCTACACCCTACACCCTACACCCTACACCCTACACCCTAAACCCTAAACCCTAAACCCTAAACCCTAAACCCACCCAGGAATGTGCGCCACATCCAGGCTTCGGACGGGGCATTTGCTGCCATCCTCGATGACGGCTCCGTCGTAACTTGGGGGGACGAATGGCATGGTGCCGACAGCAGCTTCTTAGTAGCAGAGTACATATGGGGTTTAGGGTTTAGGGTTTAGGTTTTAGGGTTTAGGGTTTAGGGTAGATAACCTTTAACCTTTTTGGCTTTGTGGTGCTTTACTTTAACTTTAGATCTTTAGCCTTTTTGGGCTTCTTGGTCTTCTTCATATGGCAGATAAAAATTTAATTTATAGCTACCCTTCTAAGTGCAGCCACGTTGGGGTAGTAGAATCCCTAGTAAATTCCCAATGGTGAACCTTTAGTTCCCCTAGGTTACTGGACAGCTAAGGTTCTGTCCAGGATGAGCTGTCACTGTAGAGACTACAGGAGTTGGCTCCTGCACCGGTCCGGCGCACAGGGGGTACAAATGGTTCTCGGCGAGCCTGGTGATGTTTCAAAATTTTCCCTTGTTGGGTTCAAGAGGATCAGATTCCTAGACCCTAAACCCTAAACCCTAAACCCTAAACCCTAAACCCTAAACCCTAAACCCTATTTTTCAGAGGGTGTTTAAGGGGCCACCTTGGGGTTTATGGCGCTCTCGAAGCCGGCAACCCACGATCTTGTTTAAGAGCATCTCACCGCTGAGCGCTGTACTTGCAGCGACGAAAAGCCGGCTGCAAGCGCCAAGGACCAGTTGCGTGTTGATTTGAAGTACACGCATACTCTTAGGGTTCAGGGTTTAGGGTGTAGGGTTTAGGGTTTAGGATTTTGGGCCCCTATGATAGTCGACTCATGCTCCTCGTAGTTTAGGCTGCCAAGCACGGGCTCATTATTTGGATGGAACCCGGTAAGATCCGAACCCTAGCCGCCCTAGTCTTGTGTTTTTGTGGCCGGGGGAGAGAGAGTTACTCGTACCATCGTTTCTTTCATTGGCTGTGTAGAGCAGCCAAAACCAAGGGTTTAGGGTTTGTAGGGTTTAGGGTTTAGAGTTTCGGGTTTTGGGTTTCGGGTTTGTAGGGTTTAGGGGTTCAGGGTTTGGCGTTTAGAGTTTATGGTTAGGGGAGCACTGCCAGAAAGCAGGTTTGGTTAGCATCGATCCTCTAAAATCTTAACATCATGAAGAACTACTCGAAGACGGGAGATTGTTTTTCTCCGGCTGTTTGGGCCTAAGTTTCAGACGTTTCGGGGGACAAACGCACGAGAGAGTTACTCGTACCATCGTTTCATTCATTGGCTGTGTAGAGCAGCCAAAACCAAGGGTTTAGGGTTTGTAGGGTTTAGGGTTTAGAGTTTCGGGTTTTGGGTTTCGGGTTTGTAGGGTTTAGGGGTTCAGGGTTTGGCGTTTAGAGTTTATGGTTAGGGGAGCACTGCCAGAAAGCAGGTTTGGTTAGCATCGATCCTCTAAAATCTTAACATCATGAAGAACTACTCGAAGACGGGAGATTGTTTTTCTCCGGCTGTTTGGGCCTAAGTTTCAGACGTTTCGGGGGACAAACGCACGAGAGAGTTACTCGTACCATCGTTTCATTCATTGGCTGTGTAGAGCAGCCAAAACCAAGGGTTTAGGGTTTGTAGGGTTTAGGGTTTAGAGTTTCGGGTTTTGGGTTTCGGGTTTGTAGGGTTTAGGGGTTCAGGGTTTGGCGTTTAGAGTTTATGGTTAGGGGAGCACTGCCAGAAAGCAGGTTTGGTTAGCATCGATCCTCTAAAATCTTAACATCATGAAGAACTACTCGAAGACGGGAGATTGTTTTTCTCCGGCTGTTTGGGCCTAAGTTTCAGACGTTTCGGGGGACAAACGCACGGTTTTTGCGCTTCCTCCTGCCTTGGACGAGTTGGGGTCTGCCATCTCTAAGCCTGTCAGTCCTAACTTACTAACCCCAAAACCTTCCCTTCCCCAACTTCAACTTTACGGCCACCCTAAACCCTAAACCCTAAACCCTAAAGCCTAAACCCTAAACCCTAAACCCTAAACCCTAAACCCTTCAAAGCCCCCGAAGGTGCGGCGGCGTACGCAGCTCTCCAAGCAGCTCCTGGCACGCGGATAGAGTGGACGTCCAGCTCCTCGCAGCTACAGTGGCCAGGTGAGTCGAAAAAAAAGCTGGGTTTAGGGTTTAGGGTTTAGGGTTTGGGGTTTGGGGTTTAGGGTTTAGGGTTTAGGGTTTAGGGTTTAGGGTTTAGGGTTTTAGGGTTTAGGGTTTAGGGTCCCTGAATCCGAGGCAGGGCCGACCCTCGGATTCACCCGACCCCTGAGCTTCGTAACCCGTCCTGACCCCAGACTGTAGGGTTTCGGGTTTAGGGTAACCGCCCCTAAACCCAAAACCCTAACCCCTAAACCCTAAACCCTAAACCCTAAACCCGAAACCCTAAACCCTAAACCCTAGAAACCCTACAGCCATGAGAGCCGGTGTGTTGGAGGATGCCGCGTTTCCGAAGAGACCTTCATGGGGCCGCCCGTCACCGGAAGCTTTTGCCTGACGCCCTGAACCCGAGACGCCCAGCACACCCAAGATCCAAAACACTAAACCCTACACCCTAAACCCTAAGCCCTACAAGTTTAGGGTTTAGGGTTTAGGGTTTAGGGTAGCCCTACACCCTAAAGCCGAAACCCCTCAACAGCCGCCAACCAACTCTCCCTGAAGCTTGACCGCCCCCATCCACCCCCCCACGCAAGCCGGCCTAGAACCTCCCAAACCACCGACATCCGAAACTAAGCCCTAAACCCTTAACCCTATACCCCTAAACCCGTGGGCATCCGCGCCTTGTTCCAGCAATGGCGGAGGAGGCGCCACCCTCGGCAGGCCCTCGATAGCCTTCATTCCTCAACGGTTTAGGATTTAGGGTTTAGGGTTTAACTCGAAGCCCCCCTGGGTAGGTAACTCGAAGCCCTCCCTGGGTAGGCCCTGGGAGATTCCATATCTTTTCCCTTATTGGTTTCAGAGGATCACCTTCAGGAACATGTTTCTCCGAGGGTTTTGACTACCATTTGGGGCTCTATATATGGGTGGTTGTCAAAGTTATGGTCCCTTTTTGGATCCCTATTACAATACGGCACTTAATATTTAGGGTACCCCAAAAGGGATCACATTGTTGACGATGCAACATAGACACGCGTATCTTTGTTTAAGATAATCGGATGTATGTATATATCTGATTATATCTGGGCATATCTGCATGCATGTATCTATACACATGTTGTGCGAATTATACTGATGGGCTTTAACCCAAAACCCAAAACCCTAAACCCTAAACCCTACACCCTAAAACCCTAAAATGTGTTGTTGTGGCTCAGGGCTTTTGGGGTTTAGAGGCCCCCAACCCTTGAGCCGCGCTTTCACGCTACTAAACTCCGGGAAGCCAGGAGATGGAAAGAGGGTCCAGGGTTTAGGGTTGAGGGTTTAGGGTTTCGGGTTTGGGGAGAGCGTCTTGGGAGTTGTGGGGGTCGCCCGCCCCGCGGCAGGACGCTGCGCTTGGCTCGTCCAAGAGGGCCTCCGGACAGAGGCCGCAGACGCGGAGTTTTCCCATCAGCCCCTGAAGCCCTAAACCCTAAACCCTAAACCCTTCAGCCCCTAAACCCCTCGCCTGGCGCTTGCAAAAATGCCCCCCCCCCCCCATGCCCCCCGGTTGGAGGGTCTTACTTGAAGTGCCGACAGAAATTTCAGCACATGGAAGGAGAGGGCTGCTGCACTCGACCGCCCTGGCACTCAGCACACACAGGGGGCTCGTAGAGGTATTGGACTTAACTTTGTGGTGCTTTACTTTAACTTTAGATCTTTAGCCTTTTTGGGCTTGTTGGTTTTCTTAATGGCAGCTAAAAATTTAATTTATAGCTACCCTTCTGAGTTACCCTTCTGAGTGCAGCCAAGTTAAGGGTGAACTGGTTTTTGAGGGAGTCGGGTGAAGGGCCAGCCTATGGCATCTTAGGTCTTCCTTCAAGTTTTGTGAGGTTCAGGCTTCTGCAGCGCGCCAGCTTGTACATTGTTTGAAGCATGGCCCTAAGTCCCAAGCCCTCCAAACCCTCAAAGTTCAAAGGGGCCCTTGCCCCCCCAAGCCCAGCCCTACCAACACTTGTTAGGAGAATCACCCTAAACCCTAAACCCTAAACCCTAAACCCTAAACCCTAAACCCTAAACCCTAAACCCTAAACCCTAAACCCTAAACCCTAAACCCTAAACCTGCCCTAAAGAGGGAGGATTGGCACACGGACTCCTCTCGGGGCTCAGGAGGTTTTCGGGTCGACTCCGGGGGTGGCCGACGTTCTGGGGGGTTGGGGTTGGGGGAGTTGTGATTCCGCCGCCTTTCTGGGTTTTTGGTTAGCCCTCCTAGGAAAACTCTCTCCAACCCCCTTAAAGCCTAAGCCCAAGACCCCTGAAAGACGGAACCAAACCCTGAACCCTAAACCCTAAACCCTAAACCCTAAACCCACATCATCTTCGCGCGGGCCCAGGAAGCGGCCAGTCGGCTCAAGCGGCCTTGCACCATGCGCCTGGGCGAAGCTGCGTTTGGGGGGTTAGGGTTTAGGGTTTAGGGTTTAGGTGGCTTTTTGGGGGGGTCTAGAGGGGGTGTTTAGGGCTTAGGGTTTTTTGGTGGACCACTTGATTCGTGCTACTTGGCGTTGTTTCTTTTTGCATCGGAATTGAGGCCCAGAGAAGCACCTCACACGTTTGCAATGTCCATTCCCTCGCCCAGACCTCAAGCCCTAAACCCTAAACCCTCTTTTATTGAAGAGCCGCCCCAAAAGCAAAAGCATCCACGTCAAGGCCCTTAGTCCCTGAACCCAAAAGCGCCCCCGAAACCGCAGCCCCGAACCCTAAACCCAAAACCTGGGTTTAGGGTTTGGGGTTTAGGGTTTAGGGCTTAGGGTTTTAGGGTCCTAAACCCTATAAACCCTAAACTCTATAAACTAAGCCCCTGTAGGACACTTCCCTGAAAAACCTGAGAGTTTGCAAGGCACGCGCAGCCACCAAGTTCAAAGAGGCAGGTCTCTTGCCAGAGGGGTGAAGGAAGCTTAAGTTCTTTCAATGGTAGGGCTTAGGAGTTCAGGGTTTAGGGTCTAGGGGAAGTTCTAAGGGTAGCCACGTCACGTCTCTCAGTAGGTCCCCCTAGTATAGGCCCTTGGGTTCTGGAAGGTATGTAGGGTGTATAGAGGCACATGTTAAGGGACCATGCTACGGTACCCTTACAACTGACTATGAGTTTCCGTTCTTGCCCCGCAAACCCTCATCCCCAAACCTCTATCGGGCCCAGAGCTGGCGAATCTCGTCTTCACGACCGCACCCCCTACGGCCGTAGAACCCTGAGACTTAAGCCCAGAAAGCTCTGGACCTTGAACCTGGGATGTTCCCTCTTATACTAGCAGTCCTTAAATAGGGATTATGTACCCCTAAACCCTAAACCCTAAACCCTGAACCCTAAACCCTAAACCCTAAACCCTAAACGCTAAACCCGAAACCCTAAACCAGATTCTCATCCCCATTAAGGCCTGTTAGTATAAGGGGGAGCATCCCAAGCTTGAACCATAAGATTTCAACGGACCCCTAAGCCCTATGAAGCTTACAAACCCGAAGCCCCTGCGCTTGGTAGCCCCAGTGGCGCCCTTTTGCGGTTCACGGCTCCCCTAACAAAGTAAGCCACCCCCAAAGGGGTACCCTCATCATAACATGCATGACTGGGCTACCAAGTAGAGCCTCCTCAGTCGGATCACCAACCCCTAAACCCTAGCCCTAAGCCCTAAACCCTAAACCCTGAGCCCTGAGCCCCTGGCCCTAGGCCCAAAACCCAAAACCCAAAACCCTAAACCCTAAACCCTAAACCCTAAACCCTAAACCCTAAACCCTAAACCCTAAACCCTAAACCCTAAACCCTAAACCCTAAACCCTAAACCCCAAACGCTCGTTGCGTCGAAGGCTGCGGAGAGCTGCCCGGCGGACCACGCCGCGGACCGCGACGAGCTGGAGGGCCACTCCGCGGACCGCGCGCTTGTGGAGATTCGGGCTGTTGGGTTTAGGGTTTAGGGTTTAGGGTTTAGGGGGTTTAGGGTTTGGGGTTTAAGGTTTAGGGTTTCGGGCCAGGGTTTATAGGGTTTAGGGTTTCGGGCCAGGGTTTATAGGGTTTATAGGGTTTATAGGGTTTATAGGGTTTATAGGGTTTATAGGGTTTATAGGGTTTATAGGGTTTATAGGGTTTATAGGGTTTATAGGGTGTAGAGTTTGGGGTTTAGGGTGAAGCATTCTTAGAGCTTCGGGTTTAGAGCAGCTCGCAGTCGGGTTGAGAGTCTAGGGTGTTGAGGTTTTGGCATTGTGTGGTTTATAGGATTTAGGGTTTAGGGTTTAGGGTTCAGGGTCTAGTGTTTAGGGTTTATGGTTCAGGGTTTAGTGTTTAGGGTTTTGGTATTTTGGGGCCTTGGGGCTTGAAGGGATTTAGGGCTGCGAAGCGTTGCCACGCGCAGGGAGGGTACGGAGAAACCTTAAACCCTAAACCCGAAACCCGAAACCCTAAACCACATAACTGCAATCTCGGCCCCAGAAGGCCTTCTCAACCCTAAGGCCCTAAGCCCTACTGTCCCATCCTTTCCAACATCTTTGGGGCAACTTGGGCCAGACCACAGGTTGCTTTGCTGCCACATTCGCAGGGCTTGGGGCGTACGGCTTAGGGTTTGGGGTTTAGGGTTTCGGGCCCAGGATCCACATCAAGAATACACAATTTCCGGAAGTGCCCAGATGGGGAACCACTCTTTTACTTCTTTTCTTGGGATTCAGACGTGAATCTGCTGCAGCAAGCACACTACCTATATACCCCTAAACCCCCCTAAACCCCCAAACCCCCAAACCCCTAAACCCCCAAACCCTAAACCCCTACACCCCTGAACCCCTAAACTCTAATCCCTAATCCTTAAATAATCCTAAACCCTAAACCCTGGAACCCTGAACCCTAAACTCTAAACCCTAAACCCTCCTGCAGGACATTGCTGCTAGGGCAGTGTACCTGGAGAGCCTCGGCGGGATGACTGGGCCTCAGAGGGCGCCCAGGTGTAGGGTTTAGGGTTTAGAGCTTGGGGTTTGGGGTTTAGGGTTCGGGTTTGGGGTTTGGAGCTTGGGGTTTGGGGTTTGGGGTTTTGGGATTTGGGAGTTGGGGTTTGGTTTATAGGGTTTAGGGTTTGGGGTTGGGGTTTAGGGCTTAGGGCGTGTTTAGGGTTTAGGGTTTTAAGGTTTGAGGTTTAGGGTTTAGGTAAGGTTAGTTAATTAAAGGTCAGTGGACCTCATTGCTTTGTTAAACGAGTGTCCTACCCTCCCCAGCCAAACCTAAACCCCTAGCCTCCGTAAACTCCTAAACCCTAAGCCCTAAACCCTAAGCCCTAAACCCCTAACCCCTAACCCCTAACCCCTAAACCCTAAACCCTAAACCCTAAACCCTAAACCCTAAACCCTAAACCCTAAACCCTAAACCCTAAACCCTAAACCCTAAACCCCAGGCTTCCTAAACCCTATCTGAAACCCTAAGCCCTAAACCCCTAAACCCCTAAACCCTAAACCCCCCCACCAATGGCTCCGTGGGGCTCAGGCCTCCCTCCATGCCACTGGAGGACCACGTCGGCGAGCTGCAGCAGCCTTTGGCACGCGTTGGTTTGCGAGCTTTCGTTTGGGGGGTTTGGGGGTTTGGGGTTTAGGGTTTAGGGTTTAGGGTTCAGGGTTTAGGGTTCAGAGTTTGGGGGTTTACGGTGGGGAAGTTCCCCCAACCCCTGCCCCCCGCCAACACTTTCATGTAACCCAGGGTTTAGGGTATAGGGTCCAGGGTTTGGGGCTTGGGGTTTGGGGTTGAGGGTGTAAGCCGCAAACCGACTAAAGCTCCAAAACCCTTAAAGCCCTACAGCCCCATAGCCTAACTCAGAATGTGAAATTTCTAAAGCCCCTAAATACCCCCAAACCCTTAACCCTTCACCCCAAACCCTAAACCCTAAACCCTAAACCCTAAACCCTAAACCCTAAACCCTAAGCCCTAAGCCCTAAGCCCTAAGCCCTAAGCCCTAAGCCCTAAGCCCTAAGCCCTAAGCCCTAAGCCCTAAGCCCTAAACCCAAACTCTCAATCCCCAAGCAATTGTGCAGCTTGCCAGGATTGGCCTCGACTTATCCGCCGGGGCCTCGGCTCGCCTTCGAGCTGGTTCCGGGGGGGGGGGGGGGGTAGGGTTTAGGGTTTAGGGTTTAGGGTTTAGGGTTTAGGTTAGTAACTGGCACCTCTGGCTTATCAAGCAAATACGGATCTGAATTCTTTTCTGAAATATTTCTGAAAAAGTTTCTGATTATTTTTCTGGTCTGTGAAAAATTTCTGATTCATTTTCTGAATCTGCTTCGGCGTGAATTATGATTGTTTCTGAAAATGCTCCCCTAGGAGCGGGAGATCAGAATTCAGAAAAAAATCAGAAATAATTCAGAAATATGCTGTATATACCATGCCTTTTCTGATTTCCCCTCCCCGTTCCGGATGCCCAGAAATTTCTGAAAAAATTCTGGTCCGGATGCCCGCCATGGGGCATGGAAAGTCAGAAAAGCATGGTATACACAGCACTTTTTTTGTTTTTTTTTGACATGTCCCCCTCCAGGGTCCAGGGGTTGGGGGGGGCGGGGGGGCGGGGAGATCAGAATTCAGACAAAAATCAGAAAATAATTCAGATATATGCTGTATATACCATGGTTTTTCTGATTTTCCAGCCACTGGAGCGGGGATTCGGAATTTCTGAAAAAAAGTCTGATATTTTTCTACCGCGAAAATATTTCAGACTTTTTTCCAGAAATGTTTTTGGAGTCAGAGTTTTTTTCAGAAATCTTTTCAGAAATTTTGTAACAATTAATTATTCCAGGTTTTCTTCTGTAAGCCAGCCGATGCCCTTCCCTAGTTTAGGTTTCGGGTTTCTCAGTTTCAGAGAGCTGCCCAAGCCCAAAGACCCCACCAAAGGTGGCCGAGGAGCCCAAGGACGAGAAGGTAGCCCAGCTCCTGGCAAGATCCGGCCCCTCCGCGCAAGTTTGGGTTTAGGGTTGAGGGTTTAGGGTTTAGGGTTTGGGGTTCAGCAGCTCCGGATCGAGCAGTTTTATGGTAAAGTTATATTTGCGGTTCTGATATAACACCCGCCCAGAGAATCCCATAACATTGACAATATAAAAGGTATTAATTACTCCAATCATGCAACAAAGGGCTACCTAAACCCTTGAGGCTCTAAATCCTTGAGACTAAACCCTTGAGACCCTAAACCCTTGAAACCCTAAACCCCGACCTTGAGGCCTTGAAACCCTAAACCCCGCCTTGAGGAATTGAAACCCTAAACCCCGACCCTGAGGTCTTGAAACCCTAAACGAAGGGGGGGAAAAACGCCCACGAACCAGGCAAATGCCGACGAAGTAGGCAAAAATGCCCACGAAGGAGGCAAGGATGCCCACGAATTAGGCAAATTTGCCGCTCACTGGGGTCATTAAGGTTTATATTCCTATAGAAAGAGAGGTTTAGGGTTTAGGGTTAGGACCCTAAGCCCGACGCCCTACACCCTAGCCCTAAACCCTAAACTTCCTACATCAGGGTTTACGGGTTTTGGATCTCTAACCTTGGGGATTATCGGGGTTCAGGGCTTCGGGTATCAGGGGCTCATGTGGGCATCGGTTGCCCCCCCTCCCCCGCAGCCCTGGATACGAAATTTAGGGGTTTGGGTTTGGGGCAAGGGTTCAGGTTTTAAGGCTTGAACCCCATGCCGACGACAAAGCAACAGCTGAGCCGCTTCGCTAAGGTCGAGAGTGTTTACATCAACTTGCAGTGCTTCATCTCAGGGTTTGGGGTTTAGGGTTTGGGAATCTGCAGCATGTGAATCCTTGCCAGCATGTAGAATGCTGCAGTCCCAACCCTACACGCCCTAAACCCCTACACCCGAAGCCCTAGACCCCTAAACCCTAAACCCTTAGCCCTTAACCCTTGACCCTAAACCCTAACCCCTAACCCCTAACCCCTAAACCCTAAACCCTAAACCCTAAACCCTAAACCCTAAACCCAAAACCCTAAACCCTAAACCCTAAACCCTAAACCCTAAACCCCTGGCCTTGCACTCAAAGATCCCAGGCGTCACTGGCGACAGCGCCGACCTCAGCGACGAAGGCCTACAGATGGTCCTGGCGCTGCAGAGCGAGGCGCCTCCGAAAAAAGAGGGGGCTTCAGGGTTGGGTTTGGGGGGAATTAATCAGGGTTTTGGGCCTTGGGTTTAGGGTTTGGGGTTTAGGGTTTTAGGGTTTAGGGTTTTAGGGTAAAGCCCTCTGTTTAGGCGGGGTGGGAGGTTGGGGATTTGTGGGTTGGACGAGTGCTTTGGAAGATCCGACTTGCAGCCGGGGTCGCTGGCCCTGAGCCCTTAAAGCTTTTGGGGTTCGGGGTTTGAGAGTTTCGGGGTGGGGTGTAGGGTGGATAGCCCTAAACCCTAAACCCTAAACCCTAAACCCTAAACCCTAAACCCTAAACCCTAAACCCTAAACCCTAAACCCTAAACCCTAAACCCTAAACCCCAAACCCCAAACCCTAAACCCTAAACCCTAAACACCCTAAAGCCCGCGGAGGTGGAGTTGAGGAGCTTCCTCCTTCGCATCCTGGGCAAAGACTGGCGACAGGCCATTCACCTAAAGGAGATCCGGATCTCCACAAAGCTCCGCTGCGGTTCCGTTCACCTGAAGTCTGTGGCCTCGGGTTTAGGGTTTAGGGTTTGGGGTCTCTGGCCCTCGACCAAGTCCAAGATGAGGTGAAAGCCGACGATGCGAGCCAGCAAGAACTTGCCGGGGGCTTGGGGAAGTGAAAGGCATGCGCATGGTGCAGCTGTAGCAGCCTCGATAAACAATGCCTCGTCGGGCTGCCCCGAACCCTGAACCCTGCTGTACCGCAAGTTCCTGTGGCTGTGGCTCAGGTCTCTTTTGCAAAGGGCGTCAGCGGAGGCGCACTTCTGTACCCTTCAACGTTCGGCCTTTCCTTGCATCGTTCCGCCAAGCATGCATGCATCTGGGAGACCGGGTTGGGTACCTCACAAGCCTAAGATAAGCTTCATGGGCACCGTGCGTGATCGGAGGAGCTTCCCCTGCGTCCTTCAGCAGCCTGCGCGAGCAGATGAGGCACAGTAGGGCTCGTACCACGCTGGGTCCCTTTTGATGGTTTTTCTGATCAGAACCAGAGCACGTCTGAGGGGGGTTGCACCATGGTAGTCAGAGGCTGCAAGAACCGCATGTCTGCAGAGCTCCAGCTCAAGCCCGCAAGGCCCAGGCCCTTGCAAGCACTGCACAAGACTCTGCAGGACAGCCTCGTGAAGGTTTTCAGACCTCCCCATGGCTCGGTATGACCTCGGAAGCGTCATGGACCGAGGCTTTGGCCCTGCTTCGTTGGATGGGAGAGAATGGGCTGCAGCCGGACGCCTTTCGGTTCTGTGCGGTGCAGGCGCAGTGCGACCGGGCGGGGCAGTGGCGGCGAGCCGGGCTTTTCTTGCAGCGGATGGTGGCGGCGAGCACCGAGCCGGGCGCCGTCGCATATGGCACCGCCACCAGCGGCTGCCGGCAAGACGGCCGCTGGCCAGCTGCCTTGGCCCTGCTGAAGGAGCTTGCGCTCCTTCACGGCGAGGTCAGCGACATCGCTCTCAACACTGGGCTGGCCGCTTGCAGCTACGGCCACTCTTGGGACTCTTGGCGGCAGGCGCTGCAGCTCCTGAGACCAGCAACGAACGGCGGGGACCCCAAGCAGTCCAGCACGGCCGTGAACACCGCGGCGAAGGCCTGCGAGACCCGTCTTCACTGGGATTTGGTTTTGGAGTTGCTGCAGGTGCTTGGCCGAAATGCTTGGGAGGGCGACGTCTTCAGCTGTTCGACTGCGGTCAGCGCCTGCGGACGCAAACAACACTGGGAGGCGTCGCTGGTCGTGTGGCAAACTTTCAGGGACAGGAGGGTCCAGCCGAATGCTGTGGCCTATGGAGCCGTCTGCAGCGCATGCAGCCTGGGGCGGCCAGAGCTTTGTGGAGACTTCCTTAAAGACATGCACCGTCGGCGTTTCAGGCCGAATCTCATTGTTTGCAATGTGGCCCTCTCTAGCTTTGTGGAGCTGGACCGCTGGCCGGATGCCTTGCAGCTACTGGCCGAGATGGATGCGGCGGGGCCCACCCCTAACACCGTGAGTTTGCGGGCCGTGGCCGCCGCGCTGGCAGTTCAACGGGAGGGGAGCCTGCTGCGAGGTGCCCGCCCCTTGCTGCACCGGCTTAGCGGGGCTGTGCAGCGACTCCTACAGCCGCTACAGCGCGGAGCCGCTGCGAAATCTGCGAAGCGCAAAGAAGAGCGCCCGGCTCGCTCGACCTTCTCCAGCTTCGCACCCTTGAGCTCCAGCGTGGAAGCGGCAGAGGTGCTGGCGGAGCACGGCGCGCTGGCCTGCGGAGTCAGTTTGGCCCTTCGCCGCAGCCTTCGGCCCTCCCACAAGGCTCTGCTCCGCGTCGCCGTGGAGGGCGCCCTCGCCACAATACTGCAGCCGCTGGGACAGCTGGATAAGTCCCTCGAGTCTTTGTTCGGCCTTGGCGTGCAGGGCACGCAGCTGGCGCTCCGGGAGCTAAGTGCATTGGGATTGCGCGCGGCGAGTTGGGAGCCGGCGGCTCGGCATCGTAGCCGCCGCAACCAGCTGGACCTCCCTGTTGGGACCCGGCCGGCAGCCCAGACCACTCTGGCGTGGCGGGCTGCATGCATGGAAGGGAACGCCGGCGTGAGGCGGCCGCTGTTGAGGCGCGCTGGAGCTGCCGTCCGCTACGGCGCTGCGGCCAGCGCGCTATTGGTGCCCATCCGCGTGGAGCACGACCGCGCCCTGCACCCGGAGCGCCGAGCACTCGCTGCACTGCTGGCGGAGCTCGTGGCTGCTCAGGGGGCCATGCTGGATGTTTGAGTGAGAAAGTTCTTTGAAGATGGGGATCTCTCTCACACAGGTCGAATCCAACTTAGTCACTTAGTCATCCAGTCGTACTCCATCACCGCTCAGAGGCCGAGGTTGGGTTTTCGGGCATGCAAATGCCCAAACCCACAATTCTTCCGGAGTTCCCGATCACAAGCCCCAAAGGCCCAAATTCTACCGGTCAGGTCCTAAGCACCATCTCCCCCAAAACCGCTGATTCCTGAAGCCCTAACACTCTCTGAGCCCTCATAAGCCCAAGATATAAACATGGCTACAAAGCCCTTCGAACCCTCCCAAAGCCCTAAGCCCGCCACGAAGCCGTTAAAGCCTGGCTCGAAGGAGCTTCCCGTGGGTGGAGCTCAAGCTGGGTGGGCCCCTCGGTGTTTGGGTCGGCTGCGAAACCTCTCTCACTCTCTCGCTCTCTTCCTCTTCCTCTTCCTCTTCCTCTTTCTCTTTCTCTTCCTCTTTCTCTTTCTCTTTCTCATTTGATAGGGTTTAGGATTACGGTTTAGGTTAGGTTTTTAGGGTGTAGAGATTTTGGCTTATGGGGCTTTCGGTCCTCAGGAAGTATCTATCTATGACGTAGGGGTTTGGAGATTTTTGAGGGGTCGTCGTGTTTAGGGATGTTCAGGGTGAGGCGCGGGCTTCTGGACTCCCGACTGACGTCCCGCCTGGCACCCGAAAGCCCTGTTGAAGACAACCCGGCCGAGTGCTCGGGAGGGTGGTGGCTTTCCAGGCAAGCCTCTCTCTCCCCTCCTATACCCTAAACCCTAAACCCTAGACCCTAAACCCTAGACCCTAGACCCTAGACCCTAGACCCTAGACCCTAGACCCTAGACCCTAAACCCTAAACCCTAAACCCTAAACCCTAGCCCTAAACGTGTATTGGCCATGTGAGAATCACACGCCATTCTTTCGGGGTGCTGCACACGACGGCACTTCTGCAGTGTTGTGCAGTTTATCCCGATCCCTGAACTGCTGCTACCCACCAGGGCCGGGAGAAGACCGGCTGAAAGTGGCCGTGGCCATGGAGAACGAGGCCGGCTCGGCATCCGCTTCAAATCAGTTGATTAGAAGACCCTCGCGTAGCACTTTTAGAGTTTAGGGTTTAGGGGTTAGGGGTTAGGGTTGAGGGTTGAGGGTTGAGGGTTTAGGGTCCCCTTCTAACTCGAAGGCCGCCCCTCCCTCCCCCTCTCTCCCCACCTTCACACACTCCCACACTCGCACACTCACACACATCAAAGATCCTACCGCCACATGATGGATTCCGAGCTCCCCTGACTCAGATGGTGGCAGGGATGTTGAGCCTAAGTGCCCCACCCAAAAGAATCGGCACCACACCCCCCCTACGCAACTCTTACAGTGCAGCCCTATACCCTTGAAGCCCTAAAGCCTCAGTCGCCGCAGCTCTAACTCTCCGAGAGTCTGGTCAGGTTAGGACAGCACCCAAGAGGGTGCGGCTAATCTGCGGAGACCTTCAAAAGAAACCCCGAAACCTCGCAAACCGCGAGAAACCCCCGAAACCCTACAACCCCGAAACCCTACAACCCTGAAACCCGGAAACCCTGAAACCTGAAACCCCGAAACCCGACCATTACCCCAAAAACCATACCTGTAACCCCAACTGCCTACAGTTTAGTCGCTACTATCTTTAACTAGTAGGTATAACCCGTAAAACTCTAGGAATTCCTAGGTTACTCCTGGGCCTAAACCCTAAACCAACCCTAAACCCTAAACCCTAAACGCTAAACCCTAAACCCTAAACCCTATACCCTAAACCCTAAACCCTAAACCCGAAACCCTAAACCCTAAACCCTAAACCCTAAACCCTAAACCCTAAACCCTAAACCCTAAACCCTAAACCCTAAACGCCCCCAAAGTGGGCCATCACGGCCTCCATGCGCCGCTCTCTGCTTCGCGCCTTCCATGGCGGGGACTTTGTCCCCAGGTCCACCTTCTCAGCATAGGGTTTAGGGTTTAGGGTTTAGGGTTTAGGGCTTTCGTCCCCCCCCTCCCTCCCCCTCCCTTAAGTTCTGAACCCCAGGGCCACCTTCTCCTTCGACAACCACCCGCACTGGTTTGTGGGCCACATGTCCAAGGGGAAGGCGCCTCTTCCTCAAAGCACTCCCCCACCCCCCCCCCCCCCCCCCCGGCGCGCGGGAGTGAAACGCATCTAACCCCAGAACCCCGAAAACCCTCTTTAACCCTCAACCCTAAACCCTAAACCCTAAACCCTAAACCCTAAACCCTAAACCCTAAACCTTAAAACCCCAGATATGTGGCCGGCTTTTTTATGTTAGGGAGGTCGAGCCAAGCCCAGGTCAAGATCGAGCAGAAGATGAAGGATGTGGATGTGATCCTCGAGGTCCGCGATGCCCGGGCTCCTTTCACCTCGGCCCAGCTCCCTGGAGTCTCCATTGAGGACATGTTTGTCGGTTCTCGAAAACCCAAGAGGTTCAAGGTTTAGGGTTTAGGGTTTAGGGTTTAGGGCTAGGGTTCAGGGTTTAGGGTTTAGGGTTGAGGGTTTAGGATTGCAAGTCCCTCTTTGCAATGGAGGGTCTACAGGGGGTGTTCTGCAGGTTTGAGCTCACTTCCAACCTGCCGGCCAATGTGCAACGACTGGTGGTCCTGAACAAGGCCTCTGCGCAGGGCTTGGGGCATTCCTTGAAACGCAAGAGGCCAACAAAACCCTATAAGCCCTGAACTCTTAAACCCCTCGAACCCTAAACCAGAGCCCTAAAACCCTACTAGTAAAAACCCTTACAACCCTAAACCCGAAGCCCTAAACCCTTCAACCCTAGAACCCCTTAAACCCTAAACCCCAAACCCCAAACCCTAAACCCTAAACCCTAAACCCTAAACCCTAAACCCTAAACCCTAAACCCTAAACCCTGAAGGCCGACCTGGTCACGCCCAACGTGGGCCTCGCCATGCGGGGCCTCATCGAGGAGGCGGGGCAGCCGTGCCTCCTCACCACGGCGGCGGAGAACAGGAGCTCTGATCACGTAGGGTTTAGGGTTTAGGGTTTCGGGTTTAGGGTTTCGGGTTTAGGGTTGAGGGTTGAGGGTTTAGGGCAGTTTAGGGTTTAGGGTTTCGGGTTTGGGGTTTAGGATTGTAGTTTTTTTTTGAACTGATATTTTTGTAGGGCTTCTGCAGCTCTCTTTCCGGGCTCAAGAAGGCATGGGGGTTTCGGGTTTAGGGTTTAGGGTTTCGGGTTTCGGGTTTAGGGTTTAGGGTTTAGGGGTTTAGTCAAGCCCAGGAACCTGATCAAGATCAAGCAGTTCGCGCTGGACAACGTGAGGTCCCGGCACCCAAGGACGCTGGGCGTGATGCTGATGGTGGTGGGCTTGCCGAACCCGGGATGGCTTTTGGGATACTTTTATCTCTTCCTCAGCGTTTAGGGTTTAGGGTTTAGGGTTTAGGGTTTAGGGTTTAGGGTTTGAGGGTTTAGGGTTTAGGGTTTATAGGGTTTGCTTTTGGGATACTTTTATCTCAAAGTTTAGGGTTTAGGGTTTGAGGGTTTAGGGTTTATAGGGTTTGGGGGTACTAAGGGTGCCCCACAGGTAGACAGTTTTTTCACAGGGTCTACCAAAAAGGCCACCGCCCCTCAACCCTCAACCCTCAACCCTCAACCTTCAACCCTCAACCCTCAGCCCTCAACCCTCAACCCTAAACCCTTAACCCTAAACCCAGGAACGTGGGGAAGTCCACCATCATCAGTGGCCTGAAGCGCATCGCCTTCGCCACGCTGAGGCATCAGGGCCCGACCAGCAAGCTGATGCAGGGGGCCACTTGGGCGTGTGCTTGAGAATGTATGTATGTATGTATGTATGTATGTATGTATGTATGTATGTATGTATGTATGTATGTATGTATGTATGTATGTATGTATGTATGCGTATATACATAAATATGTATATATACACATATCTATTTATTATTAGTATAGTATGTTGTTGTTGATATGGGTTTGTGTTTTTTTGGGGGGCTCAGGTTTAAGAATGGCACACGGGTTGCACACCCGCGAAACATACCCCGTAACATACCCCCGAAACATACCCCCGAAACATACCCCGCAACATACCCCCGAAGTTGCAGGTAAAGTAGCTCCTGATGCCGCGAAACATACCCGAAACATACCCCCGAAACATACCCCGAAACATACCCCGAAACATACCCGCGAAACATACCCCGACCCCAACACGTGTCACGCGCCTCCCCATTAAAATACAAACCCATATGACTATTACTTTGTTATGGCTTTTCTTCATATTATTATCATGATTATCATCATCATCATCATTATTATCATTATTATGATTATTACTATTCCTATCCATTAATGTAAATATTATCTACATATGTTATATATCAGTTACCTTGCTTTATGATATATATATATACACACAGGTGTGAGTGTGTGTGTGTGTGTTGTTGGGTACTGTTATTTGACATGGTTTGATTTGTTTCGTTTAACAAATGTACTGGATTAGCTCATCCTATCCGTAAGTTTTACTATAATATACTGCATGTTCTGCCGCGCACCTTAGATCCTCACCTCTGTGTGTATTCTTCGTGGGGGAATTGACGTCAAAACAGAGTCTTAGGCCCTCTAAGCCCTAAGCTATCAGGACTATAGAGGCCCAAAAGGACCTGTATGTTGTCGAGCTTCCAAGGTCAAGTGGACAGAGCCGAAAATGAGCAACGTCCCCGGCTTGACGCGGGAGGTTTCCTTCTTTCAGCTGAGCAACCACCCGCGCCTGCGGTTTGGTTCAAAGACTTGCATCAGTTTGCTGAGGCTGTGTGCGAATTGAATAAAAGTGTAGTATGACAAGGTCTACTACAAGATCGTCTACAAGCTCTGTCTGTCTGTCTGTCTGTCTGTCAGTATGTCGTTTTATGAATATTCATGTAGTTCTTAAGAGCAGCCCAGGTACTGCTACGACACCCCTGGGGTCTCGCTGCTGAAGAGGCGCAACGACCCGGAGCGGAACGCGAAGCTGGGAGTTCTGAAGTGCATGCCCGACCACATCGCTGGGGAGTCCTACCTGGCAGACTACCTCCTCTACCGCCTGAACCGGGACTCTCTTATAGACCCAGTAGGAATTCCTCTTTTTTGTTTTGTAGTATATTTTTGTGTATATAAAACCCAAGGGAATATGAACTATACTGTCTCTAGTGCGGTTCTGAGAGGGGAGCGTAGGACTATGTCCTAGACTACGTGGATGAGTTGGAGCTCCCCGGACCGACCAACGACATCCGCTACCTTTGCGGCCACATCTCCGCCCTGCTGTCGCAGCGAACGACCACGCAGATCTACCAGACGCAGGTGGGGGGTTTCCGGGTTTAAGGGTTAGGGTTTTGGGTTTAGGGTTTAGGGTTTAGGGTTTAGGGTTTAGGGTTTAGGGTTTAGGGTTTAGGGGAAAATAGGGGTACCCGTTTTGGGGTTCCTTCAAAAGGATTATAAAGTACTTAGGGGTAGATATTATAAGGGGTGCCCCTATTTTCGGAAATCCCCAGGTGGGTATGGGCGCCACTTTCTTCCTTGACCTCTGGAGAGCTGGGAAGTTGGGAAAGGTCTGCCTGGACTACGTCCCCGACCCCGGCGAGGTGCAGCGCCTGCGCCAGCTCCGCGCCCAAACCGAGCCCCCGGGGCCCTGGGGCCCGGCGGCCTACCCCGAAGTGCCGGATGGTTTGGAGCTGGCGCGCCGCGGACCTCTGCTCCCAGAAGGTTTTGTCCCGCAAGGCCGGCACGGGTCGCGCGACCCCCGAGGCTCCCACGACTCCCCGAGCACCGACCGGGAGCCACGAAGGACAAAGGCTACTTCGACTGCTTCGGGGTTTTAGGGTTTAGGGCTTGGGGTTTAGTGGGTTCAGGATTTCAGGGTTTCGAGTTTAGGGTTTGGGGTTTATAGGGCTTAGTGGGCTCAAGAGGGCCATGAGATGGCCGGGGCCATGCCCAGACCCCTTGGACCCCAGATGCTCTTGTTGTGGAACCTCCCCGGACCCGACTTTGCTGGCTTACCGTTTGGGGCAGTTTAGGGTTTAGGATGGTTTAGGGTTTAGCGTTAGGGTTTGGGGTAGGGTTTAGGGTTTAGGGGGGTTTTAGGGTTTTAGGGTTTTAGGGTTTAGGGTTTTAGGGTTTTAGGGTTTTAGGGTTTTAGGGTTTTAGGGTTTTAGGGTTTTAGGGTTTTAGGGTTTTAGGGTTTTAGGGTTTTAGGGTTTTAGGGTTTTAGGGTTTGGGTCTGGTGTGTTTTCGGAAAAAGGAAACGCGCCTCCCGAAGCCCATCGAACATCCTAATCGGGCCTGGAATCCTTGAAGCCTAATGCAACCCGATGACTCTGAACCTCTAAATCCCCAAACCCTTAGAACCCTGAAGCCCTAAACCCTGAACCCTAAAACCCAGAACCCTGCAAAGCCCTAAACCCTAAAACCTAAACCCTAAACCCTAAACCCTAAACCCTAAACCCTAAACCCTAAACCCTAAACCCGGAACCCGGAACCCGGAACCCTGAACCCTAAACCCTAAACCCTAAAGCCTAAACCCTAAACCCTAAACCCAGCCTTGGCGAGGCCCGCGAGCTGGAGGCCAAAGGCCAGCTCGAGGAGGCGGCTTTCGGAGCGCTTGTTTCGGGTTTTTGGGATTTGGGGTTTCGGGTTTAGGGTAGTTTAGGGTTTAGGATTTAGGGCTAGGGTCTAGGGTTTAGGGTTTTGGGTTTAGGGTTTAGGGCTAGGGTCTAGGGTTTAGGGTTTCAGGTGGGCGGTTGTTAAGGCTTTATAGGGTTTATAGGGGTTTACAGGGTTTTATCGGAGTTGTAGGGCTTTAGAGGCCGTATAGAGTTTATGCACAGAGCGTTTTGGGTTTCGGGCTTAGGGTTTCGCGTTTATAGGGTTCTGGGGTTTTGGGGCTTGGGGGTCTGGGTTGTGCTGCCACTGCATGGGTTTGTTCGGGCTTAGGCTTGTACATGTCGAGGATGAAGACCTGAGCTCAGCACATGCCCCCAAAGGCGCTCTCCTCTCCGTGCGGAAGCCCCTGAACCTTAAACCTTAAACCCTGAACCCTCCACCCTAAACCCTTGTGAGGTTCAACCTGTTGTGTCTTCCTTTGTATAGCGCCGAGTCCAAGTAGGGCGATTTCTCGAGTATCGCAGACGTCTTGAGCTCAACGCCAGAGTCGAAATAGGCTTCGCAGTGGACCACAGAAACCGCGTCTCAAACTGGTAGCGGAGCTCCATCCCACCATTGTGTGGCGATCGGCAGCCGAGCACAAGGGACGAACGGTCCAGTTTCACCCAGTAGCTAGCATACTGCAACCCGAATATAGTTTTCCTTTCCGCCGAACTCGAATTGACCATCTCATAGAGACCATCAGAGACCGTGTATTCTCTTTCAGAGTGAAGAAGCATCAGACCTTTTCCGGAGCAGTCAACCGCAAAATGATCCCGTCTCAAGGCAGAGTGAAGAAAGCGTGTTGGTGGACAACCTGAATCGAAGGAAACGATGGTGGACAACCTTGCGAGCGCTTGACGCCGACATTGAAATCTCGGACCCCCACAAACCCCCAACTGCCCAACCCCCGCCAAAATTGTTTTGCGAGTCTAATCTTGTACGGCAATGATCACCAGTCATTGAACTGTGTATTAATTTTGAATGCTTCTTTCTGTGTAGGGTAGACAGGTCACACGATTCACCCTGTTTTGTTTTGTATAGCACCGAGTCCAGGGAAGCGTCGAGTGCGCGCTCCTATTTGCGTCGAGTGTGCAGCCGCACGCGCTAAACCCTAAAAACCCTAAACCCTAAAAACCCTAAACCCCAAAAAACCCTAAGCCCTAAAACCCTAAACCCTAAAACCCTAAACCCTAAAAACCCTACAAACCTTAAACCCTACAAACCCTAAACCCTGCAAACCCTAAACCCTAAAAACTCTAAACCCTAAAAACCCTTTAAACCCTCAGATTCGAGGAGTGCGCGCCGGATGCAAAAAGAGTGCGCCTGGATGCTGATGCGGGAGTGCGCAATGGATGCAAATCGGAGTGCGCACTGGAGCGCCCTGCCCTGAGTCCGTGTGACCCTGTCCAATAGGACCCCGTGACCCCGTTCTTTACCTCACTTTTAATTAAGTTTCCTTACTCCCATTCCCCTATGTAGGTCGATTTCTCGACTATCGCAGACGTCTTGAGCTCAACGCCAGAGTCGAAATATGCTTCGCAGTGGACCGCACAAACCGCTTCGAAACCCTAAGCCCTAAACCCTATATAGGAACCGCCGGGTGTCGGATATTGGCGTTCAGGGGTCGCCGCAGGCCCTTGATGGCTACAATCGGGCGTTGGCCGTCTTGAAGCTCGTGTGCCGCCCCTCAGCATGACTGCAGTTGGCCCTGGCAGCATAGAAATGCGGCTAGGGTTTAGGGCCTAGTTAAGGGTTTAGGGCCTAGTTTAGGGTTTAGGGCTAGATATTTGCAGTCGTTTCTGTAGGGCGAGGTGCCAGGAGCCCAGGTGACACCGGACACATCTTGGGTTCGGCATCTCTTCTTTCGAAGGGGCTGTGGCCCTGAGTTGGCTGTAACCCTCAATCCCCCTGCCCTCTAACCCCTCCATATACTCGAATATAACAAACATAGGTCCTTTAACATACCTATAAAACCTAAACTTAACCCCAAGCAACTCCAGGCCCGAAAGCCCTGAAGGCCCTAAACCCCAAGTCCTAAACCCTAAACCCTTCTAGGGTCTTCTGGAGCCTTCTTTGCAGCCCCAGCCAGGTACAACTTTGACCCTCGGTCGAAGAACCCGAAGATCAAGGCCGCCAAATTCTGCCTCCCCGGGCCCCCCAAAAAGTTGCCTGGTGTTTTGGGAGGTCTGGGGTTTGATTCGGGTTTCGGGGTTTAGGGTTTCGGGTTAAGGGTTTAGGGTTTAGGGCTAAGAAAAAGCAGGCATCAAAAGGGTACAGGCTTCACGTCCGGGCCCGCCAAAGGGGCTGCAACGGCTTAACCCCCAAGCTTGAACCACCGCCCCCCCCCCCCCCCCCCAATGCAGACCCTAAACCGGGTTAGGATCTGGGGTCCTGGGCCCAAACCTGAACTCCTTGAACCCTATTGGCCCTAAACCCTCAGCCCTCACCCCCCCCCTGTCGCGCAAGGAGATGGTCGCCACCCGCATGGCTTCGGGCTCAGCCTTGGAATCGGCTAGCTTGAGGGTTGAGGGCAGCCCAGCGGTATCCTTTACCCTTTTGTTTTTTGGTTCAAGGTCCCTTTGTGAAGTAACGTGCCCTTGTTATCATATGGTGGGCTACCAAGGATTTAGGACGTGGGTCTGGGGGATCGGGAGAAGTTGCCAGGGGATGTCGGGCGTGGTGTTTTCGGGGGCTTTAGGGGGTTTTAGGGGGTTTCAGGGGGTTTCAGGGGGTTTTGGGGGTACAAAAGGCAGGCATCCGAAGCCACAAGCGCCACCAAGCCGCAAAATTGCGAGACATACCTTGCCAAATCATCAGCCACACTAAATCCCAAACCCGAACCCAAACCCCAACTAAACCCTAACAAACCCCCCAAGCCCTAAACAAATCCCCCAACCCCCCCCCAATTCCCCCAAACCTCCCCAAACCCCCCAAATCCCCTAAAACCGAAGCCCAGGCGGAGCTCGAGGTATGCGCACAGCGGGTGGACCCGAGTCGGGACTCCAAGGGTTTGGGGATTTGAGGCTCGTGAGTGTTCAGGGGGAGGTTTCTTAGGGTTCTGAGGGTTCTTTGGGTTCTTAGGCTTCTTAGGGTTCCAGGGTGTCAGGTTCGTAGGGTTTTAGGGCGTTAGGGTTCTTAGGGTTGCAGGGTGTTAGGGTTCTTAGGGTTTCAGGGTGCTAGGGTTCATAAGATTTGAGGGTGTTGGGGTTTTAGGGTGTTATAGTGTGTTCGGGTTTTAGTATTTTCCCGGTTTTGCTGCTGTTTGTTTGTTTTTTTTTTAAGAATTGTTTTTGTGTGGGGTGTGTGTTGGTTTCATGGGGGTTACGAACTACTATGGTTTGCTATTTTTGAGGGTTTAGGGTGTTAGGTTTTTTTTTTTGGGGGGGGTGGGGGGAGAGTTCGGGAGTTGCTTTTTCTCTTCTCTTTTTTTCTGGCTTGGCATGCTAGGGGGTTTGGGTTTTCTGGGAGTTCAGTTTTGGGGGGTTTCGGGTTTCGGGTTTGCTCAAGCCCAACTTAGGGATGTTCCCCCTTATACTAACAGTCCTCAACAGGGATTGTTGTACCCCTTATGATCATCCCTGTTTTTGACTGTTCGTATAAGGCTGGGAACATCCCATCCTACAAGCCCGAAGCCCTAAACCCTTCACCCCTAAACCCTAAACCCTAAACCCTAAACCCTAAACCCTAAACCCTAAACCCTAAGCCCTAAACCCTAAACCCTAAACCCTAAACTCCGAGGTTTCGGGGCTCAGGGGTCGCGGCTCCAGGTGTCAGGGTCAAGGGGAGATTGGAGCCGACGACCTTTAAGCAAGCGAATCACAAGCCCCCCAAAACCACGAATCTCGGGACTTAGGGTTTAGGGTTTAGGGTTTAGGGTTTAGGGTTTAGGGTTTAGGGTTTAGGGTTTAGGGTTTAGGTCGGGATGCTCTCCTTATACTGACAGCCCTTAACAGGGAATATCGCACCCCTATTTTATAATCCCTATGGGGCAACATCCCAACATCAATTCCCACACTAGGGTTTAGGGCTTAGAGTTTGGGGTATGCAAGGAGGATCTCATGGCAGCGGATGGCTCCCAAGCCCTGGAAAGTTTCAATGCTCTACGCGCCCCAATCCCCTCTAGGCCCGGACATTGTCCCTTAGTGTGTTCAAGAGAATCTTATAAACCCTAAACCCTAAACCCTAAACCCTAAACCCTAAACCCTAAACCCTAAACCCTAAATCGGGTGAGCGTTGCAAGGGCCACCTAGCCATGAACCGAAACCCGACACACGACACGCGAATCCTCTTCCAAAGCGTCGAAGGTCAGTCCGGCCCGCCCACGAAGAGTGCCAGGGCCCCAGGGGCCCAAAGACCTCAGGGAAGGTGCCATGAGAAGGTGTTTTGGGTTCAAGGTTAGGGCTTCGGGGTGTATTTGGGTTTTTGTCATTGTTTAGCGTGGGGTTCTTCAGGTTCAAAGAGTTGCCTTCCTTGGGCGACTCTGTAGCAAAAAACAGCACCTGTAGGAATGTGGACAACGCTGGAGCATGTAGGGAGGGTTACCTTTAACATCCCCTGCTGAATATAGGAGCCTGCTCAATGTGAATTTTGGGCTCTTTGCTTAAACCCTATAAACCCTAAACCCATTTTTTTAGGGGTTCTAAGGGGAGGATACATTGGTAAGTACAAAGCCTCGTGCGCGGCCGTGTTCTGAGTGCTTCCGCCTCAAGATTGAGAGGCACTCTTGGGTCTGCAAGACTTTGGAACTAAGGTTTAGGGACTCGTGTTGCTCCGACTCTTGGCGTTGCAGGGTTCAGGCTTAGGGTTCATCAAGGGACTACAGGAGGAACCCTTGTAAGGGACCTTAGGGGTTACTTTGGGGCGTATGTTGGGGCTACTGAGGTTTTTAGGGATTATATACGGCATGTATGGCGGATACTTGGGGTCATAGTTGGGTCGGTGGGCGCGAGGCGGTCTTTGTGCGCTATGCCTGGCCCTCCTAGGTCTCGGGGCTTTCGAGGTGTTTGGGCGCCAAGTGCCGCTTTCTGCCCCCCAAGCCCAAACTCAGTGCTTGAACCCTCAGCCTTTTAAACCCTGAACCCGAAAACCTAAACCCTAAACCCCAAACCTGAATCCTAAACCTTTAGCCCAAAACCCTAGAGGATCTCCTCAAGTCGCAAAAGAAGCTACTCGTAGCACGCAAAAGCGGCCTAACGCCGAAGTCTTCGTCCGAAGTACCCGAAGACCTAAGCCTAGCTGCATCCTACATTCACCCGAGTTCAACCCTGATTCAACCTCAAAGCATCCCCAAGGAAACCCACCCTAAACCCTAAACCCTAAACCCTAAACCCTAAACCCTAAACCCTAAACCCCAAACCCCAAACCCCAAACCCTAAACCGTGAACCCTAACCCCTAAACCCTAAACCCTAAACCCTAAACATGAACCTTAGGCGGATGACGACGACCTGGAGGCAAAGCGGGGGTGTCCATCTTCAGGATTCCTTTGTTGTAAAATTTCGGGTTTTAGGGTTTTAGGGTTGTTTAGGGTTAACCCCAAACCCGAAACCCTAAACCCTACAGAGGGGGGCATGCTAAGCCCGAAAACCGGGGTTTAGGGTTTAGGGTTTAGGGTTTAGGGCTTAGGGTTTAGGGTTTAGGGTAGATCTCCATATTTGTTTGATGTTGCTGGGCTTTCAAGGTCTTGGGGTTTTGTGGCTGCTGGTTTCGTTTATGGTTCAGGTCAGGCTATTCTTGATTTGTTATAGGGTTCTTGAGGGAGGGGGGTTCATGGTTAGGTACCTAGGGAACAAGGGAAGCTTAGGGAAGCGAAGGGAGTAGGACCCTATAATCAAGGGATTCAGACTCGTACTGCAAAGGTTGCACCCCTACAAATTCACCCTAATCGACTCCTAATGTGGCCGGTGCAACCTTAAGGGTCCCAGGTACAACCCCAAAAAAGTAGGACCTGCCAGGTCCCCTTATGCTTACAGCCCTTAATAGGAATTAGAGAACCCCCCACTATAATCCCTTTTAAGGACTGTTAGTCAACCCTAAACCCTAAACCCTAAACCTTAAACCCTAAACCCTAAACCCTAAACCCTAAACCCTAAACCGTAAAGAGTAGGACCCTCGAAATGTGTTGGGGTTCTTACGCTTGCGAGCGCCCTGGCCAGGCCAGGCTTCGCAAGCTGCGTGAGTGAGGCGCCTGCCCGCAAAGAGGCCCTAAACCCTAAACCCTAAACCCTAAACCCTAAACCCTAAACCCTAAACCCTAAACCCTAAACCCTAAACCCTAAACCCTAAACCCTTGGCATCCGCAAGCTGCAGATGCAGGAATTGCGGGTTGTCCTGAACTAGCAAACAAGTACCTAGATACGGCAAATAAATGCATACACGTAAACAACTGTAAGTCTACGTAAATCTATATAGATATACTCCTACTATAGAAGTCATTCGTCGTACAACCATCTACGCGTTTTAGGTTTCATGGCTTTAGAGCATGGCTCCAGCACTAGACGCTACCTGGGCGTCTTTCACGTTTGATGGTGCAGTGGGTTCGACACTGAACCCCACGACGAAGCTCTGCTGCTTGGGATTTAAAGCAGACCATGTGCTTAAGGGGACGGCTGCTGTGCTTCGACACCCTAAGCCCTATATCAAACTCCATATGAAACCCGCAAGGGATCTCTTTAGGTATTGGCGGTTCCAGCAGATGCTTCGGAATCATTGTGTCGGTTTACTGCTGGGAGGAGAAGTAGTAGGGAGTTGTGGCTTGAGGGGTCGGGGTTTAGGGTTTAAGGGTGATAACTGATTAATCTTCACGTGAGAGACTATTGTCCCGAACGTCACGAATTATACAGACCATATCTCCGACTGCTCTAAATGGGAGGGAGTTCAGGCATCCGAAAAGAGTTAGCAATGTTCAACACGCGAGGCTACATGATCTCTTCGAAAACCATGTCCCGGCGATGATGAACCCTAAGCCTACGCGCACGACTTCATGTTTCCTACCGCGCACAGACAGACGAGTCGGGCTCCCCTAATTTCGAGTCCATCCTCACTTGGGCCGTTTAGGGTTTGGGGTTTAGTTTTTAGGGTTAAGGGTTTGGGGTTGGGATGTTCCCCCTTCTACGAACAGTCCTTCATCGGGATTAGAATAGGGGGTACAAAAATACTAGTACTACAGTCCCTATTAAGGACTGCTAGTAGAAGGGGGAACATCCCAAGTTGGGGGGTTTAGAGGGCATTCTTGTCGCGCGATTGGGATTTCGCATGGTTGCGGAGCATTTCTCAGGCAGTGCCCATTCTTAGTTTACATGAGGTCATAGAGTCCATGCGCTTTCCCGCACCTTTGGTCTTGGGAGCAGAAGTCTCTTTTGAGGTAAGTGGCAACAAATCTGCAGCGTTAGGGTTCGAAGGTTTCGAGACTGACGAGCAGCCTTTAGGGTTTCGGGTTTAGAGCCCAGGGCCTAGGGTTTAGGGTTGAGGGTTGAGGGTTTAGGGTTTAGGGTGTAGGTAGGGTTTAGGGTTTAGGGTTTAGGGTTTAGGGTTTAGGGATACTACTGTGTTTGGTGGGTGTATATAAGGTTCCTTTTCAATATTGGTGAGTGTATATGCCGGGTGTCCTTTTGGGGTACACTACTTCATGTCGTGTTTTATACTTCAATACTGTGGTACAATACTTCATTATTGTTTATAAGGGGCCCAAGGGACGACGAGACATATGTTTTTGCACATTCTTGTTATGTTTTCAGGGGGGGAGGGGTGTAGAAATCTCAAGCACGCCGAGCCCTCAATGAATGAGGCTTCCCGCGATGTCGGAGCCGGCAGACCCTGAGTCCGAGCCTTCTGCGCCCCCAGCCGAGCTGGTGTTTAGTCCCGTGGAGTATGCGGAGCTCTACTCCATGGCCTCCGCGAGGGGCGAAGATGTGGAAGAAGGGCTGAAACGAACCAAGAAAGCTCTCAAACTCAAGGCGCATGCGAAGAGGCTCAAGGCGGCAATGCAGCAGCGAGTGGAGAGGGAGGTGGCAGCTGCCCAGACACAGCGGTGGAGGTGGAGGTCTCCTGGAGGAGATGTTGAGCTCGAGAAGCAGCTGCAAGACCTGCAAGGTCTCATCGATGACATCAGCAGTGCGGCATCTGTAGAAGATGGCGTTTGGCGCTATAGGAAGATCTGGGAGCCCAAGCTTCGCTTCGTTGAGGAAGACATGGAGCGTGGCGTACCAGAGGAGGACATCGCTGAGAAGTATGACCTCTACGAGGCTGTGTCGGAAGCCATCCAATACCGGCAGTCTGTGAAATTGCTGCGCGAGATTGGCGAAGAGTTGAAGAAAGCCGAAGCCAGCCTGCTCCAAATTCAAGCTCAAAACGAGTCCCAGTCCCTGCGGCTCCTGAGCTTCTTCGACATCCTTGAGGCCCGAATCGAAAGCGCAGTGAAGCTCGAAGAAAAGTCATCTAGGCTCAGGCGCCAAGCGCAAGAGTGTGAAGCGGCAGCGGCAGCTGTGAGAGGCGACGCGTCGGGTGTGCGTGGCTTAAGCAGTTCAGCCGGGAAAGAGTCACGCCAGCCGTTCTTGCCAGAGGCCCAGGAGGCAGCTGAGAGTTTGTGGCGGCAGGCGGAGGAGGCGAAGAAGGATTTCGAGATGATTCAGAAGGGCAATCAAGAAGCAACGCTCTTCTTGAATTCGCAGCTGCGGGCATACGAGGAAGCTCAGAGGTCATGTGGATTGTTGGGAGGCACCTTGCAGGACCTGCGGCAGGCTCTGCTGGAGCACAAGGAGGAGCCGCCATTGCCAGGCATCCTGGAACCTCAGCGGGAGCTGCTTCGACGGGTGCACTCATCGCTGCAACGCTGCTTCTTCAAGGCCAGGGGCATCGAGGCCTTCGAAATCGAGCAGCAGCTGAGGCGGTGTCAGGAAGAGGACGAACTGGCCGAAACACTTGGCTTGGCCAGTTGCCTCAAGGATGTGGACCCGGTCTTGATGGAAGAAAAGCACCGGCTCCTCAAAGAACTAACGGAGAAGCGACTCGAAGAGAGGAGGTGTAACGAGGCTCTGGAGCGGACGAGGTGCCAGCAGCAGCAAGAAGTTCGGGAAAGACGGGAGAGCTGGAGAAGGATGCGCAGCTCGTGTGGCAGGCTTTGCTGCGCACCAGTGCTCATCCTGATTGTCACCGCACCTTTGACCATCGGAACCCTGGCCGGTGTCCAGCTGAACATCCGCTGGCTCCGGAATCCCCCCAGCCTGGATTCCAAGGAGCTCTGGGCGGGTTTCTGTAAGGCAGAGCTCTCTCTGACGGGAGTTGCAAGCTTCCTGGTGCTGGTCTTCGCCTGCCTCCTCTGTGGCGCCGTCCCGGTCCCGTGCGGACCTTGCTCGGTTCCTTGCCTTCTGATGACGGTGACTTTTTGGATTGGACTCTTGCCCGGGTTCGATGCATGGAGCTCCGATGCTCCGAGTCAGTGGTCGTGGATGCGAGTTGTGAGCAGTTGCGTTTACCTTGCCTTCTTCGGTGTGGTTTGGTTGCTTGGCTGCCGGTGTGCAACGTCATGGGCGTGCCAGATGTCCAGCCAATCCTAGCGGTTGTGACTGTTGTGCACCTCTTTGCTGCGACGGTGCTGCCTTTACAAATTGTTGATGCCAATTTGGGGCCTGGTTTGTGTTGTTATTCCCTAAAAACCTCAAACCCTAAACGCCCTAAAGCCCCAAAAGCCCTAAACCCGAACCCTAGCTGCCCTAGCTTGATGCTTCGATGTGTGCACGAGTTACGCCCGGGATGTCCTTCTGGTGATGGATCAGCTGGGGTGGCATGGGTTCTCATGACACGTGGAATTAAGCTTGACCAAACCCTTAAACCCTAAACCCAAAACCCTAAACCCAAAACCCTAAACCCTAAACCCTAAACCCCCGAGAGTCTCCAAGTTAGTCACTTGGGGAACCTTGAGAGCCTTATTGTGAAGTTTCCTAGATTTGAAGTTTCAAGCGAAATGCATCCTGACTCCCAGGCCCCGAAGCCTAAGTAAGCCCTGAAACTCCTGAAACTCATGAAGCCCTGAACCCTAGACTCTGAACCACTCCAGCACCCTAAACTTTGAGCCCAAAATCCTAAACCCTAAGCCCTAAACCCTAGACCCTGAAACATCCTAAGCTTTTGAGCTTCCCACTGCCATTGCGACGCGCCCCCACGGGCGCGAAGAAGAACGGCAGTTGGGGGGAGGAAGCCGGGGGACCAAGTTGCAGGGTTCGGGGAGTACATGGGTTTAGGGTTTAGGGTTCAGGGTTTAGGGTTTAGGGATGTATTTACCTTTTTCTATCATGAAGTATTACAGTGATTACTGCTATTCAGATTATGATTGTGATTATATGTACACATATAGAATTTGTACATGTGCGTATACAAGGTCTAGCAGGGTTCACAAGGTTCAGAGATATGAAGTTCAGCATTTGATGCTTGGGTCTCTTCTGGGCTTTGTGACTTCAATGAGGGTCGAGGGCTAGGACGTTTTTGGGGCTTCTGAACTCAGCAACAAGAAGGTCTGTTGAAGCTCCCCCCACCCCCCTAAGCTCTAAATCCTAAACTGAATGAACCTGCCTCCCCCCCCCCCCCCCCCCCCGCGCACAGCGCAGGTGAGAGCCTGCGCAATATGGGCCGCGGGCCGAAATCCGCACCATTCAGGGTTTCGGGTTTGGAGTTTAGGCCTCACCCTAAGCCCTCCTTTGTGGTCTTAAGGTCACGCCCGAAGCCCTCTGAACCTTGAACACCTGGGCAGGTCTTGGATTAATATTGCAGGCTTTAGGGTTCATAGGGTTTAGGGCTTTTGGGCTTTAGGGTTTGGGGTTCATAAGGCTTAAGGATCCGAGGGTTATACTAGAGTCATAGGGCTTAGGGTTCTCGCTTACACGCGGACAAGCCCGAAGCTACCTAAACCCAAACCCAACCCCCCCCCCCCCCCCCCCCCCCCCCCCCCCGGTCCCCCAACCCGAACTGCAACTGCCGCTAAACCCCTAAACCCTAAACCCTAAACCCTAAACCTAAACCCTAAACCCTAAACCCTAAACCCTAAACCCTAAACCCTAAACCCTAAACCCTAAACCCTAAACCCTAAACCCTAAACCCTAAACCCTAAGCCCTAAGCCCTAAGCCCTAAGCCCTAAGCCCTAAACCCTAAACCCTAAACCCTAAACCCTAAACCCTCGCCCCCAGACCCTAAACCAAAACCACTGGAGAACAACCTGAAACCTCCTTCGAGGCTGTTGCGGGTCCTCTGCCAAGCAGAAGACCAAGGCGCCAAGCGTTGAGGGTTTAGGGTTTAGGGGTTAGGGGTTTGGGCAGCCAGTTTTTTCCCGCTGAGCTGCGGTCCTTTGTTTAGGGTCGCCAGAAGACCAGGCTCAGAGTTACAATCACGAACCCTTAGAAACCAAGGGTTTAGGGCTAAACCCAGGGGCATCCTCCAGGCTCATGGAGCCTGTGGATATGGGGGGACAGGGTGTTTGTGGCGTTTAGAGGGTTTGTAGGATGTCTATCGGTTCTTGTGTTTTTTGGGGTTTGTAGGGTGTTTGTAGTAGGGTTCATCGGGCGTTCGGGTTGATAGATTTTGGGGTTTTGGGGTCATAGGGTTTATAGGGTTTACAGGGTTCATAGGCTTTATGGGGCTTAGGGTTCAGGATTGACATGTAGGGTTTAGGATTCAGGGTTTCTAGGGCTCGGCCCAGGCAAAATGCCCAGAGCCGGCGCAGTCAGAAGGCCCAAGCGTCGACGGAAGGGCTTGGAATGGTTGGAATGGTCTATGAGCCGCGAACAAACCCCAAAGTTAAAGGAATGCAAGATGGGTTTGCGGTTTAGGGTTTCGGGTTTAGGTGGAGATACAGTAAACAAGTTCGTTAGTATGGTATCTTTAAAGTTCCAACCCGGTCGTATAGGAGCCTGAGTCATTACCAATTTCCTACAAGCCCACTTCTACAGTGTATCCAAAATGCCCATCAAAAATCGAAAAACGTCTCCGAAACCCTAAGCCCTAAACCCGAATAGTAAATGGTAAGCTGTGGCCTGGCAGACCGGGTTTCGGGTGTCGGGGGGCTTTGGCCCTTAGAGTGCTGTAAGGGACAAACACTTAACCCCCCAGCTGCTCGAGTGCTCCAGCTGCCGAAAAGCCCCCAAAGCAACTCTGGGGTGTGCTTTTGGGATTGGGGCCTCGGTGCGTGCCCAAAGTCCGCCTGCCATTCAAGACGTGCATCTGGCCAAGTTGTTGGCAGCAGAGGCCATGAGCAGTCCCACATTCCCACAACCTTGATCTACCTGGTCAGAAGTACCCAAGTCATGAGGGTTTAGGGTTTAGGAAGTTTGGGGTTTAGTTTTTAGGGTTTAGGGTTTAGGGCAACCCTAAACCCTGAATCTCGTTTCAACCCTAAACCCAACCCCCAACTCCCCCCACGTGGGGCCTTCAAGTAGGCGACAAGCCGCTCGAAGAGATGACGGAAGAGGAGGCAGGCTCCAGAGTCCGGAATACTCTGAACCCCTTAACTTGGCGGGGTTTAGGGTTTAGGGTTTAGGGTTTAGGGTTTAGGGTTTAGGGGGTATAGTACCCCATTCGTATAAGGGGGCTAAGCCCGAAACCCATTGTAGATGTCAGGGGAAGGATATCTTGTGTTTTCTCCCCTACTTGGCTTTTAGAGGATTTTTCTTTCGGAGGGCTTTGAAGGGCCAACCCGGTACGCCACGGTCTTCAAGGGACCCATGCGTAATCTCAAGCCCAACTGCAAATCACACGCCTGGCTGCTAGACCCTTAACCCTAAACCCTGAACCCTAAACCCTAAACCCTAACCCCTAAACCCTAAACCCTAAACCCCAAACCCTTCTTGCTTCCTGGGGGGGCCCTGAGCTCTCAGGCGCTCAAAGCTCAGCGCAAGAAGGCCAAGAAGATGGTCAAGGTCTTTGCGCGGGCGCCCGGGGGGCAGCGCTTGTTTCGGGGCGGCCGGAGCCTTGAGCTCGGGGGGTTCAGAGGGGAGACTCGGGGGATCAAGGGGCTTAAGGGCTTATAGGGGTTTAGGGTTTAGGGTTTAGGGTGATTTAACATGGGGGCTTGTAGGGGTTTCGGGGGCTTATAGGGGTTTAGGCGCTTAAAACGGCTCTTGGGGCGCCAGCCCGACAAGCCCGAAAGCCACCCTGTACCCCTTTTCGGGTTGAGGGTTTAGGTCTTCTAGGGTTTATTCTCCTAACCCCCCAACCCCCCCCTCCCCCCCAAAACCCAGCCAGAAAGCCCCTAAACCCTAAACCTTAAACCCTAAACCCTAAACCCTAAACCCAGAAAGCCCGAGGTCAAGGGCATGGTTAGGGGCCGGAAGCTGGAAGTCGTCCTCAAGCGCGCGGCTGAGTTGCTCGCGCCCTTGTTCGTGGCTTTTGGGGGCTTCCCAGGGTTTGGGGGTTTATAGGGTTTATAGGGTTTAGGGTTTAGGGTTTAGGGTGGTGAGACCGGACCAAAAGCCAACAAAAAACCCCAAACAAAAGGCGCTCAAGCGAACAAGCACAAATGAAAGGCCTACTCATAGTCAACATCAAGCATCCGCCAGCAAAACGAGACCTAAAGGAACACTTGCAGGCCAGGGCCAAGCTGGAAACTTGGGAGTTTTGTTTTGACTTTTGCAGCTTCCTGAACCCTGGAACTGTGTGTTGAACTCAATCTAGATCCCGGTGGTGAACCTAAAGCCCATAAGCACCCTTAGAACCCCCCTACTGTAGATCCTGTTACAAACCATACGCCCTCAACCCCTAAACCCTTAACCCTAAACCCCAAACCCTAAACCCTAAACCCTAGCCCTAAACCCTAAACCCCTAATTTCCTAAACCCCAAACCCTAAACCCTAAACCCTAGCCCTAAACCCTAAACCCCTCATTTCCTAAACCCGAGGACGGGGAAGCGGAAGGCGTGCGCGTGCTCCATGAGTCGCCAGCAACCCAGCTCGAGGGGATTCCTCCCGATCTCAGGTGTTTAGGGTTTAGGGTTTAGGGTTTTAGGGTTTAGGGTTGAGGGTTGAGGGTTGAGGGTTTAGGGTTTAGGGTTGAGGGCTTGGGGTTTAGGGTTTAGGGTTTGGGCTCGGGATTTAGGGTTTAGGTAGAGGATGAGGAGATGTTTGCTGACCTTGCGCGTGTGACAAGCAGAATGAGGGTCTAGAAGCTATGTCTCGCTCCCTCCCCCCCGCCCCCTAAACCCTGACCCAAAAACCTTAAACCCCAAATCCTAAACCGCGCACACACACAAAAAAAAAAAAAAAACAAAGAAGGAGAGCACAGGTAATCGGGGACCCAGGCAATTTTGAAGCTCCAGAACCCTGAAGCACCTAAACCCTAAAGCCCTTCAAACCCTTCATAGACTTTTCAACCCCAAACCCTAAGCCTTAACTCCTAATGCCTAACCCCCAAACTAAACCCTAAACCCCAAGCCCCAGGTGGTTTGGACTCCCTGAAGATAAAGCTCGCTGGGCATGGAAAGACGATCGGGCCTGCTGGGGGGGAGAGGGCAGGGCACCCTCAGCCCGGCAGCCCTAAACCCCAAAGCCCAAACCATAAACCCTAAACCCCAAA